GTTCTCATACACAGAGTTCTTTTTTTCTTAATACTGTTTCCTGCTAATAAATCTAACTTTGCTCCAGGATTTATTTTCTAGAGAGGATCAGTTCTACAGGGGTGCAGGCAAGAACACACAGCTCCACATCTCCCAAACCAGAACAGGATGGCGGGGAAGGGCTCACCATTGTCGATGACAAAGATGGTCCTGCTGTTGTCATGGTCTTTCAGGTCCTTCCTCGGTATGTTCCTGTTGAGGAGGTTGAGAGCTCTGTCTCGCCCTTGCCCAGACACTCTCTTACTGACCAGCATATCCAGCAAACACATTGTGATCATCTTCAAATCTTTCTTAGTGTCTACAGAGAAGCAAAACAGTAGCAGCCGGTTACAAGAAATTCTCTCTGAAAGCAGCTGAACCCAGTGAAAACCACTCAAAGCCATCGTGTGGCTCTGACAGAGGTATGTAAGTTATGCATGAGGATAAGAGCTGTGTGCAGGCTGTCATCCTGGACAGCTGAAGGGTGAAGGCCCCACTTCACAAAAGAACAAGGAATAGGGTGGGCATCCCAGGAGCAGAGCTCTTCTGCTCAGCCCACTTCTCCTCCAGCCGGATGGAGGGATCCCCATGCGCTGTTACCTAACACAACAGCCTCCTCCTTGCCGTGGTGCTCCTCTTTGCCCTGGTCCAGCAGGCAGTCAGTGATGGTCTGCAGGAGGTTGCAGACAGCCAGGGAGATTTCCTCGTTGTCTACTGACATCCACATACAAATGCTGTCGATGCCCAGGTAATGGAGAATGGCAGTGGCCTGGAGAGAGCAGGACAGTGTTAGCAAAGGCCTTTCCTTCCTGTGTGCTTCAGAAAGGTCAGGCTCAGCTGGGACAAAGAATCTATTCTCCTCAGTGATTCCTGAGTCAGTACAAGGCAGAGTTTTAATTTTTTTCCCACTTCTCACAAACATACTGCAATTTCCCACTCCCCCAGGTGCAAGGCAACAGCAGTGAAGGTCCCAAGCTTCCTGTTCTTACCCGAGCCTTATGTCCCGTGCACATTCCCGAAAGTGTCCTCACAGCTGCCAGGATCAGCTCAGGATTTTTGGTTTCTATCAGCTGCAGCAGCAAGTTGACCCCGTTATTCTGGAAAATCCTCTCGGCACCTGCTTCCTCCCGCCCCAGGACTATGAGGTTGTTTGCAGCCTGGGTGGGAGACAGAAGAGCCAGGGGTCAGTGGCACACCCAGGCCTCCAGAACATCTCCAGGCAGCTCTGGGAGGTCCTGGTGGGAGCTGTGGATTGCCCATCTCCTGACAGATGCAGCAGACCAGCTCAGATCCCCCAGACAGTTTATCCAGGTGCATTTGGGATCCCTTCACTCTGCCCAAGAAGAGTGGATCACTGCTTGGAGTGGAACATTTAGAGGGTGGCAGAGATGGACCTGAGCAGAAGTCCAGTGTGATCCCACCTTTGATATTTTGGGAGGTTTGGCCGCCTTCTCTTGGCATAGGGATGATGCCTCACTGGGACGTTTCCCCTCTCAGCTGTCCCTCTGAGTGCAGTTCATTTCCCAGCTCCTTCCCTCATCCTCCATCCAGGGCAGGTGGGGAAAGGAACTCTGTTCTGCTCCTTGGTGCAGCCTCTGACATTAAACAGCCATTTTACCAAGTGCAGAGCAGTTCTCACCTTTTCTCGCTTTTCTTTCTCGCTGTTCTCATCCAGCAGGATTTCAAACATCTTCTGCACCCTCGAGTCCGTGGAGAACTGAATGCGCAGCTGTGCCAAGGGAGAGAGGGCAGGGAGCATCACAGGGAGAAAATTGAGGAGCAATATTCCTTTTTTTGCTTCGAGAACACCCCAGACCCTCAAACCATAGACAATTTAAGCTGAATAACGAAACAGGTATCGCTTCTCAGCTATCAGCACCCATTACCCACCTCAGACTCATAGGCATGGACAGGACAGCCCTAAATCATTATTTCACAGTACCTACTGATGCAAGGGCTTCTTCACAGCAGCCCTGTAAAGGTAACTTTGTCAATGTGGCAACTGCCAAACCCAGTCCAAAGCTGGCCCAAATCCCTGCCAGGACCCTTTTAAGACACTCAGGAGCAGGCCAGCCTCTGGAGGGAGCTGCCACACTTTTTAATTCAAACCAGTCCTCAGATTTATACACATCAAGTATGAACTTCCAGTTAATGGAGCCTATTTATCCCCCCTGCATCATTACAAGTTTCCAGTATGACCAACCATCCCTTGGTATAACCCAGAGCAAGGACTTCTCACACCTGGCCTGTGAATGCAGACTGCTCCTCCAGCATTTACCTTCTCCTGGATGTTGGCCCCCAGCCGCCTCAGGGTCTCCTGGAAGTTCTTGTTGCGGGGTTCGATGGTGGCACATTTCTGAGCATCTTTGAACGCCTGGTCCAATTTCCCCAGTTTTTCCAGAGCTTGGCTGCGCCGGTACAAGGCTTTGATATCCGAAGCATTGATGTCAATAGCTGGGAAAGTGATCCAAAACAGCAGGCATCAGAGTTTGCTGCTTGGGAATGGCCTGTGTAAACTGGGGTTTGCTTTGTTATTAACACCGTACGTGAATTGGTGCCTGATTAGCACCGACTGCACTGTCCCACCGAATTGGTACGTTGTCTTTTGAACCTCCAGTAATTCCCTTGTGGCCTCAGCACCTGGGTGTTACTGGACATCAAAGGACAAGGCCACAGTGTCCCAAAAGTAGATGTGAGAGCAGGCTGAGCACATGTACCCAGCAATGCAGCTCTCCTTTCTCAAAACAGCCCCCTCCTCACCTCTAGATGCATCCGAGGCTGCCTTGGCATATTCCTCCTGTTAAACCAGAAAGGAGAGAGTTGTTAGGCATGGAATAGCAGGGCATGTCCCCATTCCTGATGGACACTGGCCCCTCTGTTCCCAGTTCCTAACAGGACATCCCAGTGAAGCCAGCAGCAGCCTAGGGAAGGAAAGGGGAGCTGAGGTACCTTTGCATCACTGATGGAAGGGAAGGGGTGTGTGGTGCAGGTGAAACAACACACTTGGCTGAGGATGCAGCAGGACAGTGGGCAGTGAAGGAAGAGGGAACGCTCACAACAGCCTTGGTCTGTGTTGGTGTCACTTCTGGATTAGTGAAAATTCAGGAACATGCAAGCAATCTGCTCAGTTCCCACAACAGGCCACTACAAGCTGAGACAATTTTGGTACAGATAGCAATAACTTTTTGTTTTACTAAATATCTTCATCTGCTTTTCTTATACTGGGACAGACTGCAAAAGCAATCCCAAGCTATGGCTTACAGAGCTCTTTGGTAAGTGTGGAGCAGCCTGGATGCCAAAAGCCTTTGCTTCAAAGTGATTAGTGGGACCATCTCTGAGCTGAACCTGCATGCTGAGGAGGCTTTACAGCTTTAGCACAAGCCCAGAACGTGTAATTTCAGACCAGTTTGCAAACACCCTATTCAGTAAATAGACAAACCACACAGTCCACAACTGGTGAGCCTCCCTGCTCTTCTCCCCTTGAGCACTGCCCAGGAGAACTGGGAGCTTTTCTCACCTTTTTGAGGAAGCAGGCTGCCCTGTTCCTGTACAGCACTGCCTGCAGCGCCTTGTCCTTGTTGAGCTTTAAGGCTTGAGTGTAGCTTTGAAGGGCTTTCTCGTAATCATTGGCCTGAAAATATTTATTGCCCTCCTCCTTCAGCTGGATGGGATCCTCCATCTGGAGAGCTCTAAGGAAGAACATCAATTTGGGTCCCATTTTCAACTGCCTGTGTCACCCGAGGTCGCCTGCCTACTGCCCCAAGCTGAGTTTCACCACGAGACTGACATATAATTAACACACATTAATAAAAGCAGCTTACCAGACTGAAGAGTTCTGAAAATTAAGACCTAAATTGCTCCTCCAGGCTGTGACTTCTCAGAAGCTTTTCCCACTGCTGTAAGTCCTTAGGAGTCAATTAAAACAGGAAAGAAAAGCAACAACAGAAAAAAGAATTGGAGAAGTCTGCCAGCACTACGGAGAGTCCGTGGGGCTCAGGAAAGAGCTTGCTTCCCACTCCAAGTTTGGGCAGGAGCTGGCAGCTCCTGCTGTCTGTCAGCATCACCTGTCACCACAGCCTGTCCCCTCCTTGTCCCCCTGTGCTATATATGCCTGTGGAGGGCTGGGAGCCAGGGCCAGCTCGGGGGGGCACTTGCCTGCACGTGGGCAGCACCTCTGCAGCAAGAGGGGATCCTCTCCCACCTGCCAGGGCAAATCCCAGCTTCCCTCTGCCTGCAGAGCTGCACAGGGTGTGGGGGGCAGGAACAGGGGGGTTTCATGCCAAAAAAGCCCCCGCCTGGGATGGCTGACCCCCGTCAGAGTGCTCAGACCCTTTTCCCTTTCTATTTAGGGAAGCATGAGACAGCTGAGCCTCGGGGACAAGCGGCCCCACGCCAGCAGCTGCAGCAGCACCCAGCACCTTCCAGAATTCCCGGGATGGAAAGCTGACTGACACCTAGCCCTGCCTGCTCCTTTGGGAGCCCATCCCACTGGAAATCTCACCCACTGCCACCTCCCCTTTTTCAGCAGCCCATTGTCACAGACTGGAACACACACTGTACTGGAACTTACTGGCCCACTGCTGTGATGAGTGGCTCAGGGCTCAATTTCAGTGACACCAGTAGCCAGAGCAGCACTGAGCTCCAAAAGAGCTGAGCCTTTCAACACACCCTGTTTCCCAGGGGTCATACTCAATCAGGAATTCTGCTTTGGGACTTATCTCTCCCAAAACACAGGCCTTGCCTTCCCGAGTGTCCTCACCAGCATCCCAACTGTAAATCAAATGGGGGAACTGGCAGAAGGATGGGGAGAGCATGGGCTCATCACAGAGACACTGCCAAGAGGAAAAATATCATTGTCTTTAATTCCGTGATCTGTGTTGTGGTTTGTGGATCTTACACAGCAAGAATTGGCACAGGACTGCCCTGCCAGGTCTCCTATTTTATTCACCTGGCACCAGCGACACTGCTTGGCCCCTGGAATCCAGGCAGGAGGTGATTCCAAAGGAATTTGGAAATTCCTTCACAGCACATCACCTGCACTGCAGCTGCAGGCACTGCATCAAGGGCAGCTCACACACCTTCACCACTGCAGGGGTATTTCCAAGGCACAAGGACAGCAGCTGTGGAAGGTGCAAGAGGCCATTCCTGCCTTGGATAGACTCAGTCCAGTGGCTTTTCTAGGATTCACATGGATCAACACACCAGAAACTCATTCCCATGTGGCTTTAGGTACCAGGGATGGCTCGTCTGGCTTCATTTCAGTACTCCTGGGATACAGCACAGCCTTTCTCACGTCAGCCAGAATAATAATTCATTGTCAGAAGCAGCAGCACAGCAGGTACTGCAGGTAAACTGAGTAACAAAATTAAATGTTTGATGCCGCTCATGCTCAGGGCAGAGCTGAGAGTGCAGGGTGAGCAGGGCAGGCTCAGCAGTGAGTGCCGGGAGCCCTCTTCAGGCCTCGGATGGGAAAGAAAAAATAATAATAATTTAAAAAAAAAAAAAAAAAAGAAAAAAAAAGGCTTTTCCAGGTGAAATTCAAGCCCCGGGCAGCCAGGGAAGGGCACACGGCTCCCCACACCCGCAGGGCTGTGAAGACCCCCCGCCCTCCGTGCTCCTTCATTTTCCACCCTGCATCACTGGCTGGTGAGCCTGGCCAGACCCAGCCCTCGGAAAATCACAGAATCCCGGAATGATTTGACTGTAGGACCCCGGGCTCCGCTGACCCAGGCGGAGGAGCCGGGTGAGGGAACCCCGAGCGGGTTGGGAGAGGTGGGAGCGGGCACAGGAACCGTCCCGGCCCTTCCGCCGGCGGCAGGAAGCAGGAAGGGAGCGGGCAGGGCAGGGCAGGGATACCCCCTGCGGGGATTCGGGGTGCGCGGGGCGGGAGGGTGGGACACTCATCGAGGGGCTCTGCTGGAGAGGGATGGGGATGGCGATGGGGAGGATACCCCTGTCCGGGGATGGGGCTCCCCCCGCCCGCTGTGCCCTCCCCGAGCAGGAGCCGCTGGCTCAGCCGCGGCGATGCTCCCGTGCGAGATTTGGGGATGCTTGACCCTAAAAGGACCCTAAACACCCACCGTAACCACCCGTCCCAGACACAGCCTGGGCGGCTTCTCCCCAGCTCCAGAGGCAGGCACCGTCCAGGGCAGCACATGGCTCAGTGTTGGACTTGATAATCTTAGATGTCTTTTCCAACCTTAATGATTCCATGAAATCCACTCTCCTCCGCAGGTCTCTCCTGCCCCCGTGGCTGTGGACATGGTGGTCCTGCGGGCTGGGCTCTGCCCTGGTCTCACCGAAGAGATGATCCAGCTGCTCAGGGCGAATGGCATCAGGACAGGTAATGGGGTGGCATCGGGGCCTCGGGTTGGGAGAGGGCACACCAAACTGCACATTTGGTGTGCCCACATCATCTCACGTCCTGGAAGGGTGCTGTTGGTGGAATATCCCTCCGTGTCCTCCTTGCTGAATGTCTTCTGGGTCCCCCTGGGTGGATATAATGATTCAGGAGAGTGTAAGGACAAAGTAGAGATCTCTGCAAAAGCTTTTTGAAGGCTGATCTATTATGGCTTTTCAAAGGTATTTTGGGAGGATTTGTGCAGTTTTCCCTCTGACAAAAGCCCAAGTTCCTCCCACGCTGCACCCTGGGCACCTCCTGCCCTTAGAGGGGAAGCAAAAGGTGGTGCTGGGCACCTCTTGAGCAAAACAGGGAGAATTTTTACCAGCTGCTCTCCCTGATCTGTTTTGCAAGAAACTGTTTTGTGATGGGTGACGGGGCCATCTCAGAGAAAAAACTCAAATGTGGGATATCCTGCTCCTCCACTTGCAGTCTTGGCAGAGGACACAGACACTTCCAGTGTTCGTGGTCTGACCAGGTTTGGCTTCCAAACTCTTGTCCCTCATGTTGTTTGCAGTGGTGGACTTTGTGTCGTCGGACCTGGAGGATGTTGCCCAGAAGTGTTCCCTGTCTTACAAGGTAAAGAGGACTCCTAAGTCCTGGTACATTAATCAGGGATCTCAGAGCTGATCCCCTCATGGCTTGGATGGCCTTGTCTGGGGGAATCTTCTGCAGCAGGTGCTGGCCCTGAACTTGCTCAGTCCTGTTTCCAGACACCTCTCTGTCCCCCAGGCGCTGGTTGCAGTGAGACGTGTGCTCCTGGCCCAGTTCTCTGCCTTCCCTGCCAACGGAGCAGACCTGTACGAGGAGCTCAAGAGCTCCACGGCCATCCTGCCCACTGGGAACCCAAGGTGGGTACATCACCCATCTGCCCAGGGCTGGACTTGCTGCACAAGGCCCTGGTTGCCAGCACAGACTTTGAGTTTCAGTGTGGTGATGCCCTGAGCAGGGTTGGTGGTGTCCATGCCATGCCCAGGGACTTGTCTGCGTTTGGGAAGGGGACTCTAGGGACAAGTGTCTGGGCACTGCTGCTTCCTGATGCCCCTGCCATTCTGGCTGAAGGGGTGTTGATAATCCCCCCTTGTGTTCAACCCGTAGCCTGGACCAGCTGCTGGACTCTGGGCTGTACACGGGGGAAGTGACGGAGCTCATGGGAGCACCGGGCAGTGGGAAGACGCAGGTGAGTGGGATGGAGGAGCGGGGAGAGGACAGGTGGGGTGAAGATGATGCCTGGCTGACATGTCCCTGTCCCTCCAGGTGTGTCTGGGCATTGCAGCCAGTGTGTCTCTCAGCCTCAAGCAGCACGTCCTGTTTCTCGACTCCACGGGGGGTTTCATTGCCTCCCGTCTCTACCAGATGCTGCAAGCACAGACAGAGGATGAGGAAGAGCAGGCAAGTTCCCCTGGAGCTGGTCCCTCTGTTTGCACTAAAACTGCCTTTGCTCTTGCCTGCAGACAACCCCCAGGGGCGGTTTGTCTGCCCAGCTCTGCCTTTGTCCTCATGGACTTTTTTGGGTCCAGACTCTTCCTCCCATGGCCCAGTGGGTGCCGTGCTCAGGACAGACACTGCTCTTTGTTGTTTACCTTGGGAGAAGGGGAGGACTTGCTGTAGTTGCACATACTTTTGCTCCCTGAGCTCAATCCAGGTTACTTCTTCCATCAGTGGAATAGGGACAATGGTGTTCGTGGGGTGGAGGCAAATGAATAAGTGCTCTGTGTCGTGGTGTGAATGTAAAGAGCTGGTGGCAGCTGGGGCAGAGGGAATATGGCAGGTCCTGGAGGGGGTGAGGCTGTGGGTGATGCCACTCTGTGCCACAGCTGGAGGCTCTGCAGCGGATCCAGGTGGCCCGTGTGTTCGATGTCTATGAAATGCTGAGTGCCTTGCAGGAGCTGCGGGATCGCCTCTCCCAGCAGGTACGAGGGGGGGTCTGGGCCCCTCTCCCCTCCCCAGAGCTGCAGGGAGGGCTGCAGGGTGTGCCTGGCAAGTGGCTCCAGATCACCTCGTCCTGGGTGCATTTGAGCCTCTGTGCAGCTCACAACCTCCCAGGCTGCTGGATTTGCAACTCCACATTGCACATGGTCCCTCTTTTCAGGTCATGAGCTCCACGGGGCCTCTCAAGATCGTGGTGATCGACTCGGTGTCGGCTGTGATTTACCCACTGCTGGGTGGCAGGCAGTCAGAGGGTGAGCTGTGTCCTTAGGGTGTGCCAGGAGGCTGCAGAGCTCTCTGCTTGTCCTGAAGAGCATCTTCCTCCCAGGTGTGCTGTGCCTGGAGGTGGGGCTGGGACAGGTTGGATGGGGATGTGACCGCTCCCATCTTTGGGACTGGATAAAGGGGGAGTCAGTTGGCAGTGTTGTCAGCAAACACTCAAACTGGTTGTGGCCGTGGATCATGGCAGTGGTTTGAAACCTGTCCAGGGGACAGGGGAGGCACTGAACTGTTTGTCTGTATGTTAAAACCTCTACTTGCAGTGTCACAGATACATCACAGTTGCTGGCACAGTTTGCAGAGCTCCCCAGAGGCTCCTTCTGCCAGAAGGGACTTTAAATCAGAAGTGAGGATGCCAAGGAGGCCCCTTAAACACCTTCCAGAGGGACTTGCGCACCTGGATGGCAACTAATGCTACCACAGGGAGTCCCCTCACAGCCACAAGTGTAGGAAATGAAACTGTGAGCTGGAGAGATGGGTCCTGTACCTGCTAAATCAACCTGGCCAGCTTTGTCTGAGCTCCTGGTGCTTTCGTAGGGTTTTTTTGGCCTTGGGGCTTCTAAGACAGAAAAGGAGGGGGATTGGTCTGGTGAAGATGTCCATGAACACCAGCACTGGCACTAAATCCAGTGCTCATGCAAATCTAGATGTGGGTCCCACTTTGTAGGTCAATCCCCAAACACCCAAGTGCTTTGTCCTCCTCCAGGTCTGGCCATCATGATGCAGCTGTCCAGGGAGCTGAAGACACTGGCCAGGGAGTTCAGCCTTGCTGTTGTGGTGAGTGTTGCTGCGCTTTGTCCTTCGTGTGTTGGTGTGTGCCCTGAGCCATGGAGAGGCTTTGGAGCCCCTGGGAGAGGGCAGCCCACTCCCAGCTAAGCAGGAGCAAGAGGTTTGTACCCCACAGTGCTCTGCTCCCTGTGTCTCTGCAGCCCACAGATGTCTTATTTCAGTGACTGTGGAGCAAGACCAGGGCTGGTTTGCTGGCTCCTGCTATTGCTGTGCTCAGCCAACATGGCATTCTCTGCTTTGAGCAAGGCAGGGAGATTGAAAGGTTGTTTGTGTTTATTTTTGATATAACACTGTTCATTTAAGGGGCTGGCCAGCCTCCTGGGTAACCTCTTAATTACCTTGGAGGAGCTGCAGGGCATTGCATCATCCTAAGGGAGCTGGGGACTGGAAGGGGCCCTGCTCCAGTTTCCCCAGCTCTTGGCCAAGCAATTGCATTTGCCAATGCAGCCAGACAGGTTACTGGGACCATAATTTATGTGTCTGAACTGGGAAGGCCACAACAGAGAGTGGTGGTCTGCTGAGCCTGGCACTGGAAGGCACCAAGAAAGTCCTGCCCTTCGTTCTGATAAAGCGACAAGGAGGTGCCTGGAAGGACACTTGGAGGCTCCAAGTTAAACCCTCTGGGTGGCTTCAGCACCAGGAGTGATGCAGCTTGCAGATCCAAGCGAGCTCCTACCCGAGTACCTGTCTGGGCCACTTGTCTGGGCTGTGTTTAGAGGGGATGGCACAGCTGTGCCAAGAAGGAAGGCTCAGACTGGCCGTGATCTCCAGTGTTTCATTGCACCGAGTGGCACTGCTTTTCCCGGGCACTGATAAGCCTGTTTGTGCTGCAGGTGACCAACCAGGTGACAAGGGACAGCAGCACTGGCCCACTGAAGCCAGCCCTTGGCCGCTCCTGGAGCTTCGTGCCCAGCACTCGGGTGCTGCTGGAGAGCAAAGAAGCCTCCTGGGACAAAGGCACGACACGGCGTGTGGCTGCCCTGGCAAAGTCACCCCGCCAGGTGAGGCTCCCTGGGCTGGGAACGGAGGAGCAGCTATGGGACTCGGCCCTGACTTTGGAGCAGAGGGTCAGGCAGGATCCAGCCTCACTGGGTGAGCCATGGTGGTGGGAGAGGAGCTCCTGCAGCCTGCCTGTACACTGTGGAAGAGAGGAGCGTCCCAACAGCCTGAGCTTGTATTTGTAGGCAGGTTAAATGAGTGGCACCACTTCCAGTGCAGGTCACTGTGTTCCTCATGCTTGTCTCGCTCTCCTGGTGGTGTGTGGGTCCCATGGAGATGGCTCCTATACCTGCAGAGGGGACTTTGGCTTGACTCCTGCCTTTGCACAGGCAGCATTGCCTAAGTCTCCCAGCTCCAAGCCTCCTCTGCTGCCTGATCCAAATGGGTTTGGATGTGGTGGTGTGCTGGGCAGTGAAATCCATCCTGGATGTGCTAAATAATGGTGTGTCTGGGGATGCCTCAGAGCAATATGTTCTTTCTTTGCTAAATTGCATTGTCTATTTGTATCTCTGGGTTCATCAGACCAAGTTAAAACGGGGGCACCAGCAGAAAGAAATCCTCAGGGGGATATAACTGAGGATTTCTGGCTCTGGGGCAGGTGGTGGAGTGATCTAGAGTCCCAGCAGTGTGAGGTTAAGCTTCTTTCTGTTTCTCCTTGCAGCCAACAGGGTTACAGGTGGAGCTGGACATTGGGAATGGTGATATGCCAGAGCCGAGCCCTGTGACACCCACACAGGGGCTCTGATGTGATGGAAAAGCAAACGTCAAGGTCCAAGAGAGCTGCACAAAAGCAGGCAAGCACACTGAAGGTTTTACAGACCCACTCTGAGGGTCCTGCAGCCCTGGACCAACATGAAGAACCTCTTGTTCTTCAGCCTGGGGGGAGAAACTGAGCGTGGGGTTCCCCAGAGATCTCCGTGCTCAGCAGGCGCTGCCTGCAGTGGCTGGGCCGTGTGGGCAGCACAACAGCCAGCTCCTGTCCTCTGCTGCAGGCTTGTCTTCACCCTGCAGAGCCAGCCCTGTCCTCAGGTGTTGGCTGGGGACCAGCTGGCTTGTCCCTGCACAAACCCATGACTCCCTGTGGTGGTTTTGTTCCCCCCATGACTCGCTGCCCTCTGGACCTGGAGCTCTGATCGTCCTTGGGCAGCTCACAGTGGTCTTGGTTCAGAAATAAAAGGAAAAAGCTGTTGCACACTGTGGTTGTTTAGAGCTGGAATTCAATTAAAGGTGACTGCTGGGAACTTAATTAAAATATTGAGGGTTAGTCCTCAGCAGGACTGGGTTGGGACAGGCTGGAGTGGGACAGACTGAGATGGGAGAGGCTGCTGATGAGCAGGGACATAATCAAGTGCTTGCTCTGACCTTCTCCCCAGAGTAACACCAGGCCTTGTGGGGAGCTGCTGGTGTTTTTGAGGCAATGCTGTGCTGCATAAAGACTTGCTGATAACTGATAGAAGTTCTGGTCTGGATCAGCTGGGGCTGATGAGTCCTGGCTGACACCAGCTGGCCCTGCCTGATGCTCAAGGATCTCTTCAGTTGCATGTGGTGATGTTTGAAATAATCTCTCCTTCCTCTCCAGCGTTTTCCAGCTGCTCTTGCCTGCTCTGGGTGACCTCCTGGGCAGTTATGTGGTGCTGGGGAGGAGACAGGAGGCTGAGATGTGATCCCAGATGTCTCAGACACCCTCATCCTCTGCATAATAAGAGACCTCCCTGGCAGGTGAGCTGAGCCATGGTTGTACTTCAAGGCTGCTGATGCTGAATTTGGGGGCTGGAACTAATTCAAGGCATGCTCATTAAACTAATAACACAGCAGCACAGCTCCTGGAGCCTTCTAGGGCTGTACTGGGCAAAGAGGAGTTTGATTTAGCCAGAATTTGTGTTTCCAGAGTGGACATTAACAGTGTACAGCCCTGTATTCCTGAGCAAATAGCTGCTGTGGGGAAGGGGCAGTTGAAAGGGATATGTGAACACACATTTTGGTTTCCCAAGAGGCAGCACCAGGTCTCAGCGTGGATTTTTGTTTGAAACATCTGTCAGAGTTGTGTTTTCTGTGAAACTCAGCTCTTGGTGCTCCCAGGGCTGTGGTTTAGGGGGCAGGTCCCACCTCCTCCATCGTGGCCACCCAGCCACTGCAGCTCCGTGTGCATGGCCGTGGGAAAGGCCATGATCCCAGCAGGTCCTGCTGAGCAGGGGAACGTGCCAAAGCAACAGGAGCTGAGCCATTAAATACATAATTTTTACTGAAAACTTTTTAAAGTCGTGTATTTATTTGTGTTTCTGGGCTTTCCAAGCCCAGGAGGGGAGGTTTGGCCCCAGGGATTGCAGCCTGGCTGGAGGATGGTTTTCCTGTGCTGATGTGGCTGGTCCTTACAAGCAGAAATTTAGCTTGGTGCATCTCTTGGAGCTGTGAATAAATCTCTTGGAGCTGTGAATAAAGAGCTGGTGCATGCAAATTTCAACCAAAACTCTGTGCTACTATTTTATCTCTCTGTCTGTGGTTATTTAGGGGAAGCAAAGCTCCCAGGGTGGGGAGTGTGAAGCAGAGAAGAGCCAAATAGAAACCTCTTGGGTTGTATTTGAATGAAGAGGGCTTTCTGGATGTTTCTTTCCCCTAACTAGCAGGGGGGTGAGAAAAGGAACAACCTACTTTGAACCCTCACCAGGCTCAGCATGAGACCAGCCATGTGCCCAGTGTGCATCTTTCCTGTGACCCCTGAGACATGGCAGAAGAAAGTCTGCTCTTGCACTCAGTCACTGGGGAGTCACGGGGTGGTGATTCAACAGGGACATGGCCAGCCTGTCTGGAAAGGTGAGGATGTGAAGTCTGGGCTCCTCCAAAGCTTCCCATCCCAGCTTTCATAGGCATAGTCATGACCAGGGGGGATTTTCTCTTCTCAGCAATCAGCTAATTGCAGCTGTGGGAGTTTTATGCCCTCTTGGGAAACAGCTGGATAGGTGGGGGAGGACGGTGAGAGATGAGGCCTGGCTGAGTTTCGTGTGGCAGCTCCTCCTCTCCCTGTGCTGCCGAGGTCACAGGGATGTCCTGAATTTCTGGCTGCGTTGCTGCTGTGGGTGCTGGTTATTGCTTGGTGTGGGGACACCAGAAGGGCTCAGGTTATGGCAATCTATTACCTGATCTGGAAAAACCTGACTTCTTACTCAAGCTCATTTGCCCTAAATTTGCATAGTAAAATCAGGCCAAAAAGAGTTCCTGACCTCAATATCCTAATTCAGCCTTTCTCCTCCATGCTCAGACAGGCACTTCTGCAGCTCTGTAAGGCAGAGCTCGGGCTGTCCCCACTTCCTGCCTCTTCCCCTTGCTTAAAACAGCTGGAGAAGCACTGGAAAGGCTTGGAGCAGGGCAATGAAACCCATCCAGGGCAGACAGGGCTCCTCTCACCCCAAGAAGCAGGGGTGCCTTTTGGCACTAAGGGCTTATTTGCCTTTGATATGTATAAAACACGCATATAAGTGTGTGTTTATAGGTACTGTGTGCATATTTGTGTCTGTGTACACGTCTCTGTCTATCTGGCTGTCTCTGTATGGGTGTATCCTCAGGATGAGAGGACATGGTCTCAGCCTGCAACAGGAGAGGTTCAGGTTGGACATTAGGAGGAATTTCTTCTCAGGAAGCATAATAAGACATTGGGATGGGCTGCCCAGGGAGGTGGTGGAGTCACCTTTGTGTTTAAGGACAGACGTGGCACTCAGTGCCATGTTCTGGTTGACAAGGTGGTGTTGGATCATAGGTTGGACTTGATGGTCTTTTCCAACCCGATTGATTCTGTGATGTCGGTATACATCCACTTCCCGTGCAACGCGGTCAAGCCCCGTGCGCGCCGCAGGGACACCCCCGAAACACAGGAGACCCCCGCAGTGTCCCCTCCTTTTCCCACGTGTCCCGCCCGGGTCTCGAACACGCGGCCCCCGGAGCCGCCGCGCCGCGCGCTGCCCTCCCGGCCGGCGGGGGGCGCCGCCGAGTCCTCTGGGCCGCCAGGGGCGGTGCTGCCCCGCCCGGCCCATGGCGGCCGCTCCGCCCGCCCGGCCCCGCGGGCAGTTGCCATAGCGCCGCCGCCGCCGAGCGCAGGGACCGGCACCGGGATCGGGATCGGGATTGGGATCGGAACTGTCTGCCCCAGGCCCGGCCTGCCCCGGCCCGGCCCCGGCCCCGGCCTGCCGCCCGCCCGGGACGCGGCTCTGCGGGAGGCAGGTGAGGCGGTTGGGGCGCTGCCGGTGTTTGGGGGGGGGGTGGGGGGTATGTGGGGCGGTGAGGGGCTGTCAGGTTTGGTGTGTGTGTGTGTGTGTGTTTGTGTTTGTGTTTGTGTGTGTTTGTGTGAGGCTTTGAGATGACTGCCATGATCTGGGGGTTGGGGTTTGGGGAGGCTGCCAAGGTTTGGGGGTGTGGGGGGTAGTGGGGCAGTGAGGGGGCTGCCAGCGTGTGTGTAGGTGTGTGAGGGTTTGAGGGGGCTGCCAGGGTTTGGGGGGGATTATATGTATGAAGGTCTGGGGGAGCTGCCAGGGTTTGGGGGGGGAAATATGTGTGTGAAGGTTGGGGGAGCTGCCAGGGTTTGGGGGGGATTATATGTATGAAGGTTGGGGGAGCTGCCGGGGTTTGGGGGGGGGAATATGTGTGTGAAAGTTTGGAGGGGCTGCCAGGGTTTGGGGGGGGAATATGTGTGTGAAGGTTGGGGGAGCTGCCAGGGTTTGGGTCTGTGGGGCAGTGGAGGATTGTCAGGGTTTGGGGCTGTGGGGCGGGGGGGGCTGTCAGGGTAGGGAGGGTGCACAGGGCAAAGGGCCATGAGGCAGTGGAGTTGCTCCTGGGGGTTATCCAGGGGCTGTGGGGTGAGGGAATGGCTCTGGATTGGGCTGTTGGCAAGCTGGGGGGACATGGGGCAGGGGGAATGAGGATGCTCAAGCCTGGACAGGTGAGTGGGGCAGGGAGAGGCTGCAGCACGTGGGTTTAGTTTTGGGGAAAGGTTGTAGCACCTGGGTTTAGTTTTGGGGAGATGGGGTAAAGGGGCTCCCTCACAGGGAGCGCTTCCAGGGTTTCCCTAATGAAGGCGAGTGGGACTCTGGTGCAGCCTCTTTTTTCTTGTTTAAAAAGTGGCATTGAGCAACTCATCCCCTTTCTGAGTTGTGCTCCCAAGGGCACACCAAGAGGTGTTTAGTAGGTTGTTCTGCTCAAATCGTTATGAGAGCTGAGGAATTCTGGTTAAGCACCAGCCTTCTGTAAAGCTCTTTGTGTAAATTGTTGTCTCTTTGCATCTTAGCATGTCTAAGGTGTAATTTGGTGTCAAGGACCCAAGTTATTTTCTTCTCTGCTCACTTTTTGCTCAAAGCTGGGGGTGGTACAGCAAAGTGAAAGCCGAGCAAGCCCTTCCTTTGCCACAGAGAGCAAAAGGAGTTCAGAAAATAAAAGTACTCGAGCGTCCTTCAGAGCAGTTTGTTCCTGTAAGCAGGTCAAGGTGTTTCCTGTGGGGAAAGTATTGACTCATCCTCCCATCGGTTTCTTACCAGTGTTTCAGTGAGTGCAGGTTAATAAAGGTCAGCTCTGCAGTGAGAACACGCACATGGTCCTGTCTGAGCCTCCTCACACCAGGGACTTGACAAAAAGGCTGAGGATGGACAGTGTGATAAATAACCAGCTGCACTCCAGAGTTTCTCGTGTTTTCAGACACTGCAAGCACAGCCAGGTGTACTTAGGTACTGTAGAGCCAAGTATAACACTGAGGGCAGATAGCAGTGGGTTAGTTTTATGGCTCTTTGATTAAGCTGTCCCCAGGGTAATGTTTAGTTGGGTGAGGCAGGAGGAGTTTATTTCTGTTTCGTTTGAGCTCACTTCCTGTTCTCTGACACGCAGCGAGTCCTCCGTGGGGAGCACAGGACGTGGTCTTGGGTCTGGAGAACTGTTTCACAGCAGTGGAGGGACTCGTGGTAGTTTTCTGTTCTTTCTAACCTGGTTATGGAATTGGTAGAGCACTTAATGGATCTACAAAAAGGCTTTGCTAGCTCTCCATGCCATCAGGATGTGGAATGACAGGTGCATTACAAGTTGGCATTTCATTGTGTTCACACTGTAGTGGGTTGCGTTTCAAAACTCCGAAGCTCACATTTTAAGATAAATGATCATTTAGGCATATATATGATTACATAAACAAAGAGTTTTAACCCTTTGTCTTTTCACTGTGAGCTTGTTTTTCCAGAGCTGAGGAGTGGAGCAGAAAGCTGTGAGCTTTAAATGTCTGTTACAAATTCCAGATCCTTGGATTTCCCTATCTCCACTCATCCAATACTGAATGTCCTTAACACATGTGTCCACAGTGATGGGGAGGGGGGGGTCTTGTAGTCATTCTTTGTAATCATAATTGCTTTTGGTGGCACAGTTAGGTTTAATGAAACCACACAATCACCTTGGGCTGTTGTGTTTCCCATTCTGGGCAGTTCTCTCTGGTGCTGGGAATCCTGGAGCAGAGTTACCCGTGTCCACCTGTATCTGCAGATCCACTCAGCTGTAGCAACTGAACTTTTAATGAAAAGCTGATTGCTTTTGACAGTGGTGTTCATGGCTTAATGCTTAATTGCTCAAGGTTTTGCTGAATTGGGTTAGTTTTAAAGCCATCATTTAAGTATTGTGTTTAATTGTAGAGTAGGAAATGTAGGCTGGCTTTCAGTCTTTCTCATTGGCAGGTACATGTGATTGGGCTCCTAAAATGAGACCTGAATGCAATACTCTGCAAGGAATAATATAGATGATTTTTTAGGGGGGGTTGGTGCTCACTAGTTGTGTTTCTGACTGAAATCTGCCTTCTTTTCTTCAGGTCTTCAGTTTTCTCTTTATTGTGGTTGACTTCAGTGTGGGTTTGTGTTGTTTTGTTTGCTTGTTTGTTTGTTGAATCGTGTAATTTTCACTTGCTGTTGTGCAACTTCCTACCATGGCTTGTTGTTAATAACAGCTGAGATTGTAAACTCTTCAGTCAGGCTGGGGCATGATTTGAGCTGACCTCCTAGTTCTGTCTATAAAGGGTCATTAAACCTGTGCTTTGGACTTTGAGCCTGGTGGAAGAGTGGAAGCAGATTTCCAGGGTCTGCTCTGGTGTTCCTGTATCTGTACCTGGCTCTGGCTTGTTGAGGGGGCAGTGGAGCTGGGCAGGCTGTGTCTGACCCAGGACTGCAGCTTTGTGTCCTCAAGTCTAGCCAGGTAAAATGCTCTCCTCACCTGGGGTGTGTTGGTTTCATGTGATACATGCAGGAAAAAATTGTGCTTCATTACTGTTAGGCTGCTTTCCTGGCCCTGAGAGAAAGAATGTGTTTTCACAGGTATGTAAGTTATAGAATCTCTGAATGGATTGAGCTGGAAGGGACCTTAAAGATCACCCACCTCCAACTCTTCTCTAAACCCCCTGACCAGTCCTGAGGGATACAGAGCTTGATCCAAAGATAAGAAAATCAGGAAGTACCTTGAGCCAAGTACTTGGTGCTTAATAAACATGTTGCAGGCAGGAGGATAATGAGATGCAGATAAGTGTGTGTTCACGTCCCTTTTTTGGACACAACTGTGTGTGACCTGCTGCTGAGCAGGGAAAAGAGGACCTGTGGGTGCCTGGCAGTCAAACTGAGGGAACTCAGTACTGCTCTCTGGTCTGAGCTCTGACTACAAGCATAGCCTGGCTTTAAATTACCTGGGTGTTGCTGTCAGGCTGGGCTGGGCTGGTTGCTTGAGTCTGGGTTGAACTCTGGGGGCAGTGGTGCAGCCAGTGAGGGCTGTGCTGCTGTTCCTTGCCTGTGCTTTGTGCTCTGCACTTCCACGGCCTCACCCCGGCCTGGCTCCTGCTCCCCTAATTCCAGTCATTAGCCTCAATAGCACCTGCCTGTGGCTCCCCATATCAAGCCTGTTTTCCTCCCCTTTAACTGTCATTACCAGAAGCCAGAAATTAGCAGTGTGAACTTCCATCAGCTGGCTCTGATGGAAATGGAAATGCTTCACAGGGGAATAAGTGTCATCTCTGTTTCACAGGTGGGAGAATCCCAACACTGCTGAGCTGATGTCAGGACCAGGACTCCTCTGCATGCCAAGGCTTCTAACCCCCTGATGGTATGTGCCTCCAAAGCCAATTATTCAGTCTTCAGCAAGGTTGAAAAGTTATCACTTTCCTTAAGAAACCAAGAGTGTGACTGTCAGATCAAGAGTTCACATTTTGTATATTGGTTTTCCCCTTCTTTCTCAGCCAGTTTCCCCAGAACTGAGGGGGCTCGTTCTAACCTCTGAAAGGCCTTTTGGCTTGTTAAATTTATGTTCCCGTAAGGGAATTTCTTTAAAAAGAACTGTTGTTTTCTGAGGTGCTGTTTATTCTTCTCAGTGTCTGTAAAATTTACAAATTCTTCCCATTAATTGCTCTTGAGGTTTTCACTTTACTCCAAAATATTTATCAGGCTTTTTTCTCTTAATGCCCTCTGGCTCCTCTGCCAAACAGTCTTGGAATAGGAATTCCCACATTTTATTTCAGTGGAGACTAAAATATTAATGTAACATCAGCTTTTTTTAATGCTGCCACATTTTTATTTAAATTCAGAAGGCTGTGGGATGTGCTTATAGGAATACACTTAAGCAGCACATGCTTTGAATCTTTTCGTTTAGGCTGATGTTAAGTGAGATTTTAAACAGGCAAATTTAAAATACTCTCCTTTGGGAGTAGCTTGTGTCATAGTAACCTCTGTTGCAAAAAGGATAGTTCCTTTGGGCATCACATTGTGTATTTGCACATGGATGATTTCAAATTGCAGTGTCACAAGTGGCACCGCTGAGTCCCCACACCACTCGGTGTGTGCACGAGCTTTTATTGCTTTGGCTTTTCCCCAAGTGAGCCAGAAACCCGTGGAAGTCCAGACTGAAACTGGATGTGACACCACTTTTTGCTGATGTCAGAATGCCTTGCTCAGAGAGAAAGGACTGTTGGCATCTGTGCGTGGCTCCCTCGTGTCCTTCACCCCGAGCCTGGGGCTGGTGGAGTCACTCAGGTGAGGAGTTTCCCCAGTGCTGTGTTTGAGGACACTCTCCACCAGGTTGCATCATGTGCTGATAAGTTTCTTTCCATGGATGTGTTGGTGTTCCCTAGGCCATGGTTATTTGGGAAACTGCCCAGCAGTGCCATTCCTGGGCACGGAGGGTGATGAGCAGCAAGTTAATGTCCTGCTCTAGTTTGGTGTTAAAATAATCGTGGCTGGGCTGGAACCACAGGTGGTACTGCTGCTCTGAGGCACTGAGGAATTCCTGCTCCATGGGATTGCCTTTGAATTTGTTTTATACATATCTTGAAAAGTAGCTTTGGTTCATCTGGTGGAATGGATTTCTTTGTAAACACTTGGATCTGTTAATCTGGAGGAGGAACAGGTTTTAAAAATGGTGAATTAACGGTTAAAAGAAGGGAAATGTTTCTCTGTTTAGATTAACAAAATAACTTTTCTTATTGAATCCTATATATGCCCAGGACTGTGGGCTAGCAGCAGAGAGGGATAAAATGTCAAGCTTGATAGATTGTTGGAGCTGGTTTTTGGTAGTTAAACAATAATGAAGCTGTTGTGTGCTTGCAGGGAAACACTGAGCTCTGTGTGCAGACTTGGGCCTGGAGAAAGTTCCAATTGTTCCAGAGAAGGGCGAGTTCTAAAATGCAGCTTCTGTGGCTGGTGGCACAGCTGCCCAAATCCCTGCCTGTCTTGAGGCCCTTGCACAAGCATTGCAGAGTAGTTTGGAAACAGTTTATTTTTCGGATTCCAAATAAAGTGTGGGTTTCAAGGTCCCCTTTGACTGTATAATCAAAAAAGTAGAAATCGAAGCCGGTGTTTATGCAGGGAGTGATTCATGCTCTGGGAGCTCAGGGCACAGGTTTCTGCCAGTCAGAGGCTGATACCTTGCATAATTCATCCCTTCTGTTCCTGGGATGGAAAGGCTTATCAGTTGTTGCAGGGGATCCTTGGCAGCTTAGTCAGACCTCGCTGTCGCTGTGCAAAGGGCCCTGGGGTAGGAGGAATAAGATCCTGTGTCTTATGCAGAAGAGAAACAAGAGGGAACTGAAGCAGGTATTTAATAAAAATAAAGCCCAGCACCTCAGCCTCCTTTTTGACAAACTGTTTCTCTCTATTCCTGCTGGTTTTTTATACTTCATATTACCTGCTTCTCTGACTTGAAGACAATCACAGACAGGTTTTTGCCATGGAAGTACTGAAGTCAGGAATGTCATTGCGAGTGAAGGAAGGAATTCCTGAAAAGAATTGAAATATGTTGTTCAGCTCTCTGCTGGGCTTCAGGGGTGACTTGCAGTGCCTACAAGGTGTGCACAGAGAGTGCAGTTGGAATTCAAAGCACCAGTAAATGACTACTTGTGTATGGTAAAATAACACCCTTAAATACGAAATACTTGCAGTGTTTTTTTATGCGCCTGTGCCTGCCTTCAGGGACATCTTCGGTCTGCAAATGGCTGTGTCTGATGGTCCTGAATGGTGCTGATCCCATCTCTGAAGTCTGTGGGTGAAAACCTCTTTCAAGGTTTACAGTGTGTGTATTTTGGAGGTGACACACTGCACCTCTCACACAGTTTCACCGTTCTGGTTTGTCCCCCTCTCGCTGCGTTAAAGGCCGTTTGTATCACCACGTTTTCAGACAATGTGTGCAACTGCATATAATGAAGCCTTTTCATCCAAGGGAATGTAGGCCAAACCCCAGCCTGGTTCATGAAAGGCTTCACTTTGTCTGAGGGAAGTAAGATGATTGTTCTTGGAAAGAGGCCTTGTCTCTCTGTCAGTGCTGCTCTGCCCAAAGCCAAAGTTACTTGGTAAGACATTGTTCTGGAGGCCTGAGCTTGCTGTTTTACTTCTGGATGTGGCCCTTAATAACACCAGCCAAAGCTTTCATTGCTCTGGCAGGAATAACAGATGCAGGCTTGAAATTAAATCTGTGTTATGTGGTAGAATTTCCTAAAAATTCCCCTAATAAAAGCAAACGTGAAGAAAAGGGTATCAACTATTACTGTCTATTGTATACTTGCCTGATCAGCTTTAGTCCTTGATTATGGAGGAAACAGTTTATAAATATTTATTGAACTTTCTGAACTTGTGAGTAAAAGGGAATTTTTACAGTCCACAACAGATTTGAAATCTAAAATCCTAGATGTTTCCCTAACCAGCAGTTTGATAACACGCTGCCTTCCTCAGACCTTCTCTTGTCTCAAGTCCCAAGAACGTTTGTCTTTTTTGTTTATTCGTTTTGTGGGTTTTGTTTTTTTTTACAAGGCCACGTTTTTCAGTAACACTTTTTTTTTTTTAAGTAAACCCAAGCTTTTTAAGCAATATTTTGTTCTGCATGTTAAGCATATTTTTCACTGTGAACTGGGAAAGTTCAAAGTTTGAGCAAATCCAACAACAGCAACAAAAAACAAACCACCAAAAACCAAACTGGACTTGCATGTCTCTTGCACTTGTGTGAAATGTGAATTTGGCCTCAAAATCATCTTGTCTCATCCTTCTTTTATACATTATGTGTTTTCTTCTAATGTAAACTTGTTAGGATGCTCTACAGAAGTGCAAGGAGGTCGTTCACTCTCAGCATTTCTTCCCAGAAGTTCCTCACTTCTGTGAGCTGTGGTAGTTCTCTGACAGTACTTAATTCCATTACAAACACAGTCCTGCTTTAAAGAAATGAAATATTAACTTGATTCCATTCCCTGGTGGGGCTTTATCTGCATTCTACTTACGGAAAACTGAAGCACAGAGAACTGAAGGGGCCCAGATGCTCACAGATAGAAACTGAAACCAAAAGTCCTCACCCTCCATTGTCTCATATTATTTATCCCATTACTAATCTGAAAATAATTACCCAATGAGATTTCTTAAAATTCAGGTGTTTTTTTATTTAAAAATAGGAATATCTGGTATCTGATTTTGTTTGTGTAATCAAGAACGGGGCAGTTTCTGCTGAACTATTGAACTGAGACAAGTAGAGCTCAAAATAGAAGAAAGTTCATGTTGATGTTATCAGGTCAGTGGTGGAAAAGATTGTGTCATGGGGAACTTTTTGTCGTGCTGAAATGCCAGATAAGCCGTTGTTTGTTTGGGCTCTGAGGACAGAGGCGAAGATGTTTTGAGGTTTTATTTAAAAAATTGGAGTTCTTTGTTGTTAAAGGGCTGTGTGAAAGCACAAGGCAGCTCAGTATCTGTTCCCAACCTCCGTGACAGGTGGCCTGGCTTTATTCTTCCTGCCCCAACAGCAGGGTTTAGTCTAATGTGAAAACCTTGTCTGCCATTTTACAAAGCAAACAAACCCAGAATGGAAAGAAACGCTCCTCCCAGTTACGGAGAAGCTAAATGAAAACGTGATGATGATGTCTGTGCGCTGCAAAGGTCGAGGAAAAAAACCAACAAACCACAGTAGATTTATTGGTTTGTAAGACCCAGTGGTTTGTGGAGCACTGACTCATGGTGTCTGAATGCCTGGGCTTGCCAAAAGCCCTGCACTGAAATGTGCCCCCGAGCTGCCTGTGGGCCTGGGCCATATATGGGAAATTTCCTCTCCGGGACAAAGGTAGGGAATCCAGGAGGTGCAGGTCCCCGACCTGTCTGAAGCTTTCATTACCTCCTGTCCTCCCAGTCTATTGTGAAAATATATTTTATACAGGTTGGATCCAGCAGTGATTCCATGTTCAGGGCTTTCTGTTTGATCCCATGGATTTAGCAGGATTAGGTGAGCGGTGCCATCAAAGGATGCCCGTCCGGCCTCTGCTGGCACTGCACACAGGTGCTGAAAAGGCTTGACAAGGAGTTTGAATGTTCTGCCATAATATATGTATAGAGACATGGCAGTAAAGGAGAACTACCTTTTTTGGGGGATAATGGCTTTAATTCCAAGAGACAAATGTACATTTACTTGAGTGGTTGGTGCTGATAATGTAGGTGAGCTCCTGTACCTGCTCTTGCAGACTCTCCTGGGGATCTGACCCCTCTACTCAGTAACCAAAAACACAGGACCAGATGGATGTTGGGCCTGTTCATGCTTAGGTTTGACTAAAGCCTGGATTTCAGGCTGCTTTATTTTGGGTTTCCTAGTCCTTAATATTCTGCAGAGGTTGAGGCTGGAAGGAGAGAAGCACGGCAGTCAAACAGGGGTGGTGGTAAAGGAACTGATTACAATCCTTCAGCCCTAGAAACAAACACTGTGGATGGCTGGAAATGGACATTTCCACAACATCTGCCCCGGGAATGCTGTAAGGAGCTCGTGCTGGTCCTGCTGGCAGACAGGGATGGTAAGGCTTGAACTTTCCCTCAGTGTTCCAGCTCTTCCCCAGGGCTGCTCGGAAGCAGTTCTGATTTCAAATGCTCCAGTGCTAAGTGGAGATTGGCACAAAGATAATATTTACAGAAATGCTTTAAGAGTGCAGCTTCAAAGTGCCTCTCAAAGTTCCACCTGTACTAACTTCCTTCCCAAGAGGGTGGGGCGTTTAAACTCGGCCACAGATGAGGTGACTGGACCATAAATAAACTCACTTTCTTTTCTGTGATATCTTTTGTTGTCTCAGTAACAAAACGAGTCTTCAGGTTTATATTCAATATCCTGGACCTTTTTTTAACTCCTGACTAATTCAGAAGTATTTTCTGCAGTCTGGGAGAGCAGAGCTTCCCACACTGTTTCGGATGTGACGCGTGTGCTGGTCTTTGTACGTGTCTGCAGTTGCATTTTATTCTATTTCAGCACCTAGTTTGGATTTGAATTCAGGTTAATTTGGAGTAGGCATAGCTGTGAAATGAGTCTGCAGTGTTTGTACTTGTTATGATGTGCCTCAGTTACATACATCCAGATCTGTTTCAGTCCAGCCAAATAAAAATTATCTTTTTTCAGGCTCCAGTTAAATAGGTTAGAGGTTGCCTGCCAGTCTGCACAGAGCTGTGCTATATGCAGTCTTACTGCATGTGCACTTTTCCACTTGTATAAATTCCATGGGGTTTAGGTTGATTTTTTACTGACAGCTTCTGGAATAAAGGGGGGGAGAAGAGTAGGTTTTGCGAGTGAGCAATTTTGAAACTATATTTTAGTTTTGGGAGGGGGAAGATTTAGAAGCTTACTCTTTAAAAATAAACCTGAAGCTTGGCATGACAAGTAATTTATGGGATTTCCAACTGGTGTTGAAGTTTATCAGCAAACACTCAGTTCTGGGTGTTGGAGACACAGCGACAGCCCGGAGTCTTTAGACCATTAGTGCCAACTGTAATCCTAATTTCAGGGACAGTTCATGCAATTCTGGCTGATCCTGTCCCACCTCCAACCCAGTCTCAGCTCTTGGATGAGTAACAGTGGAAGACTTAAGGCTGTGCTTGTAAACTGTCTCCATTTTAGGAACAGCTGCTGTAGAGGATTCCACTTCTCAGAATCCTGGTGCACCAGGTGGGACAAGGGTTTCTGTGCACATCACTGCAGTTTTCTGTGTCCCCACCTCTCTGCTGGTTGGGGGTCAGGCTTGTTTTAAGCTTGAGGAGCTGTGTCTGGGATAATGCACCTCTTTCTTCTCCCTCCAACTGCCTCCATATGCAGAGGCCTCTGGGGCCAAGGATTTCAACAGCAATAGCTCGATCTCCTTTCATCTCAAGTGGGAACTGTAGTGATGTGATGAAAACACAAATTGACATAATTTCTCCAGCTCCCTGCATTCCCCCATTTAGGAGAAGAGTATCATTAGAACCATCTGACAGTGGTGGAAGCTGAGGTGAGTCAGAGCTGTTCCCAGGATGTCCCTGGGTAAACTGTGGATCTGCTCCTCTTTGTTTGCAATACCCAAATGCTGAAGTCACTCAGTCTTCTGCAGCACAGCAGAAAATTATTTTCAGCAACTTTCTATTCTGGGCATTGTAAAATTTGCTGAGAGAGTGAGGTATTTGTAACATTGAGAGGAGGAGGAGACTCCCTGAAAAGCTTCTGCTGTCCCTTTGGAGCCCCTTCCTGGCTTCCAGGTGGGCATGGACCCAACAAACCTCCCCCAGCTATTGTCACATGAATGTCATGGAATAGTGGTCTGGGTGGGTTTTGAGATGAAGTCTGGAGAGTATGGAATGACAGCTTTCCTGGATTAAAACTGGTTAAGGAAGCTACACAGTTATTTAAATGTCCAGGTTTTCCTTGAGCAATTTATTGCTACATATTGCAATTATTGCAATTACAGTTTTAGCAGTGACCCGCTGCAACTAAATCTGAGAAGACCTGTGATGATGTGAATGAATAGAGAAACAAATCCATTATGGCCCTTTTCCTCTGTAATAAAAAGGACTGGTTGAGTTGGTAGGTGATAGTCTAGGATTCCTGGACTGCTCCTTGCTAAAGTTTTCCTGGACAGCTTCCACTTTCACTGCCAGTTTTGAGTGTGGGACAAAGACAGATATACCCACACAAGATGCTGGAAGGGTGGGAATGGCAATAAAACTGAGTACTCTGGAATTTTACTTCTCCAGAGTTTCCTTTCTTCTCTTCCTGGCTTGGCTCATGCTGTATATCACAGCTTACTAATTTAGTCTTGCTGATGAATATCAAACTAGTGGGAAAGAGCACAGGGGCTTTTTGAATTTGAATTGTTTTTCAGCATAGCAGGAGAGTGGAATGGAGATAAGTCTATCTGAGGTCACAGCACATTCCTTGGAAAGAGGCATGGGACTAAGGAATCGAGACAGACTGGGTAAGATAAATAATTTTCTAAAACCAGTCACATGATTTCATTAATCAAGTTGTTTTGTGTTAACTTGCTGGAAGAATGTCACTTGCAAAGGCAGGAGGCTGTTGAATTTCCATTTTGGCAGATGTCTCCAGACCTAATTACATTTAAGAGCAAGAAGAGCTTTTTATCTAAATATTTTTCAATATATAAAACGCAACTTCGGGTCCAAATAAACAGTTTATATTGAAATAATACTCACCCCAGGTACCCAGCTCCTTACAATACAGGATTTCCAAGCTTCTCACGTTAAAATGGGGAAAACTTGGTGTTACCTGTGCTGTGGGGAAGAGGGAAAGCAGGTGAGTGGTGAGTTTGCAGTTCAGGTGCAAGGCTGGGAGTCAAGTGAGAGAGTGTCTGTTTTGGAATCGGCTTCCTGGGAACTGCTCTGTGAATCACACAGCTTTACAGAACCATTCTCTCCATCGTCAGGGGGGAAGTGCAGCTCTCTAGTTTCAGAGAGGTGCTTGAAGCTGAGCTGCTTTGTGCTGGTGGGATTTCAGGTGCTTTCGCTGGAGATCTGCCTGGAAATCTTCTACCAAACAGAGCATCGAGTGTTGCTGGGAGGGAGCTTGCAAATTACTCAGAGCATGTTGATAAACACTGATACAGCTGCAGAATGTCCTTAGAACCCTTAAGAACTCTTATTTTTCCTCTCACCTAAGCAAATTTTCCAAGGGCTTACCTTGCAGATGGTTTACTCAACGTAAACCAGGCTATAGCAGCATGAAAGGGTCTCTGTGTGCGCGATGGTTTGCTCTGTGCCACGTAACTGGGAAGTTTTATTGGTGCTTCCCTCAGCTCAGCAGTAATTCCAGGCGTTTCACCGAGCCGTGTGTGGCTGTGCCCGAGCTGCTGTGGCCCCGCTCCAGCTCTTCCCTGCTCCCTCTGCTCCCTGCCCCAGTGGGCTGCCCTGTTTACTTTCTGCTCCGTGGTAAATGGATGTCACTTCCTTCATTAAAATGCTGGTGCACAGCCAGATTCCCGTGCTCCGGAGCCGCAGTGCACCCAGTGAGGGCACAGCCACCCAGCCCAGCTGTGTGCCACGCTCCTGGAGCCGGCTCCTGGCTCCACGCCTTGGGACCTGCTGGGTCTGCCGAGATCCCTGACCCCCAGAGTCTGTTGGAGGCGTCTCTGAGGTGTTGAAGGGGGTCTGAGGATGGATTATTACTGGAGGGCACAGGCTGCACTTCCAGCCTGGCACTCTGTGCATCCAGCAGGGAAGGTGTAGCCGGCACATGGACATGGAGTGCCGGTGTCTGGCCGTCGGAAGCAGCTGGTGGAGGTGTGTGGGGGCTGTTCCAGGGCAGCCCGGCAGCACAGGCACTCCTGGATGCACAGAATCCTCAGCAAGGAGCCACAGGAACCCTGGACACCCCGTGGTGACTGTGCTCAGCGTGGACTGAGCTGGACACTCTGCCTGCACAGCTGGGCACGTTCTCACCCAGAAGGCTTTAGACTCACATCAAAGTTGCTGATCAGACTGGTGAGCAATCGTGCATTTGTCTTTGTAAGGATTATTGCTGTTGTATGCTTGGGTGGTTAGAGATGGGAAATGTCTGCAGACATTTGGAAGGCACAGAACAAAATGGAAAAATGTCTCCTCCTTCCAGCCCCGAATCTCTGTGTCTCTGCCCCCTGCATACCCCTGTTTCTAGCTGTGATGCAGTGCTGATGTTTAATTGCTCATTTTTTTCAAGGTGTGCATGCTGTCACCTTGGGCACAGGTGAACTACTGCCTTTACTCATATACACATTTTATTCCATCCCTACATAAAAATCTCATGTGCTCAATCCAGTTGTTATATCCAGCAAGTGACATGCACATACTTTGGGACAGACAGCCAGGGCTGGTCCCATCTCTTCCTTTTCTCATGCTCTGTAGTGCTTGAGACACCATGTTGTGCTCAGACTGGCAGCTCCTTCCCTTGTCCTTCCTGTGAATGGCTCATTTGCTGACTTTTCCAGCTGTCCCAACATATGGTTGCTCCCATTTATCATAATTCAGGTCTCTGTGCCTGGGACACAGGCTGATAAAAATAATGCTTCATGCATAAATGGCTTTTGAGCAGATTATTCTATAGCTCTGTTATCAAGTAAAAACTAATTTTTGACCAAACTAGGTTATTAGTGAAACTAATTTTAGCAAGGGATTTCTTATCAGTGCAGGTTTACTGGAAAAAAAAGTAGTAAATTGTAACAAGAGCAACTGTCCAATGCCACTAATGAGGTGGTTAACTCATGAAATACTTCAACCATTTCAGAACAGCGTTCATGAAAATGGGATCTGATTGATTTTGCATGGATTAATAATGAAAATAGTACTTTTAAAAGTGCATTATGGATACATATATATTTTAATAATAATTTTATAATATTTTAAAGCCACACTGCCTTTTTCTGGGAACAGTGTAATCCCAGTCTGGGTGTGTTGCCTTGAAAGTGGTGTCTTACCAATGAACGTGGCTTTGCTGTTGTGGGGCCACACAGTGGATGCCAGGCTGGACAGGTGTTGTTGTGGGACATCTATAGTTGATCACAGCAGGTTCTGAAGGCAGTAAGGAGGTAGCAAGGAGGATGGTCTGCTGATGAATGAGGTGGAAAGAGGAGCTTGATGGCTCAGGGAGTTGATGGAAAAGCAGCTCATTGTGGTGAGCAGAGTCTTCTCTAAATTAGGAGGTGTGAGGCAGCTCTTGGGGCTGATGAGCAAACACCACTGGAAGCTGCTATCTTGCATCTCCCTCCCTTTTTGGCACCCTGCTCCATGTGCAGGAGCCTCAAGGGTCATCAGCCCTGCTGTTCCAGCGGTTAAAGGCCTCTCAGGAGCAGAAGTACTTGTTCCTGTGGCTTCTCCTCATGTGGGAGTAAAATCAGCTGCTTCTGGGAGCTCAGTTCCTTTTGATCCCTTAAGTGTCTCATTGGTGCTACTGCATTCCAGCTGCTGAATTCCTGAGTGGTCAGGAAAAGAAGCCAGACCCGGTCCTCCAGAGCTTTATTATACAGAGCTGAAAGCTCACTGATTCCAAGATGTTCCTTTTGCTTGTTCTACTCCCTTGTTGTTTGTACCCTTAGGAAAATTAAGGGAATTTCTATATTCAAACATAAACCACAGTTTCCCTCTGCAGCCACAGCCTACCCTTTGATAAAATCCAAATAACATGTGTAATAACTGCTGTGTGTAGGCAGTGGTCTCTGATACTCCAGCTAGCAAGGTTATGGCAGTAACACTGCACATATAGTGAGAACCCGAGTTCAAACACTTTTTTTAATGAAGATGGAAAGCATAAGAATCCAGGCCTGCATTAGGAACCCTGTCTTCAGCTGTGTATGGGAGGAAAACTTTGCCTCCAGAATTAAATCATGCTTGCAAATTTATACAGAACTCATGGTGTTGTATAGAATGTGTTAATGAACAGGTGATGAAATGAATGTCATCCTTCTCTTTAAATTCAATGCAGAGAGTAATGGCATCCACAGCTTCATACTGGAAAAATAAATAAATAAAATTTAAAAAGCAGTCCAGCAGAGCACGAGGGAGTGCTGGCACTGCTTTGCTCACAGAACATGGCAAGCAACTCCCTGCCAATATTTATTAGATTTCTCCTGGCCTCTCTTAGAGCAGCTCAAGAAAGGAGATAAAACAGTCCCCCTTCCCAAGGTGATGATTGCCATGTGGGTGGATGTGTTTGCAAGTCCGGGATAGACTCTTTGATCTTGTGTCTCCACCCTTGATGAAACTCCTTCTCCCTTTGCTCTGGCAGATGCTCCAAGTGCAAGAGGCAGTTAGGATTTAGGGCAGGTAGGTTTTGGCTGCCAGAAGTCACTGTTGGGTGACTTCCAGTTTGCCAAACCCACGCTGGGGTCCGTGGGTGGAACAGTTGTTTCTGTGGCTCCCATTAGCCCATCTGAGCATCTTGTCCAGGAATAATGCTGGGATCAGTAGTGCCTGTCGTGTCAGCCCTGCCAGTAAGTCAACATCTTTTATTCAAGGTATTCCTTGAGGATTCCTGAAATCCATGATGTCATTAACATTTCCAAGCTGTCACGTTGATATTAGTCAGGTTACTGGAAGTATTTACCCAGCCCTTTCCACTGGGCATTTCTGTGTCACCTCAGTGTAGCTGTGGAGTCCTTGGGTGCAGAAGAGGTGTTGATCTGCAGAGCACAGTCAGGCTCTGCACAGGGCAGGGCTTTCCAGTTCTGGCCCTCACACTCTGCCACATCTGTAACAACTACCCAGGGAAATGAGCAGTTCCTGGATGGTGCTCACCAGGTACCTCTGAATGGGTAAGAAAATAAATCGGGGAGTAATTTGGCTGTGGAGTTACCAAGGAAACTGCCATCCTGAAATTTCATTGTGAAATTCTGCTTGCCAAGTGCTCTCCCAGTGGCAGGGCTTGTTTCCTCAGGTCTGAAGCTGATCTTGTACAGAACAAAGGAAAAATCCCTTTTGGAGCAGCTGCTGAGTCTTACCTGTATTTCTTGTTGTTGAACAGAGATGTGCCCTCCTTCAAGAAAGGAGATACCTTTGGAAAAATGTTCCAGATCAGAGGACAGTCCTGGTTATTAGTTGTTTGTGGACATTTCCCTTCCATGCTCCTGAAGTTGAGCAGGATTAAGGTTCTTCTATAGCAGTGTCTGAGCCTTTTTATCAGCCTTTTACTTTGCTGGCAGTCACAGAGCTACAACCCCAGCTGAATGCTGAGCTCTGTCTTGCTTTATCCCAGTTTGTTCGCTGCCTTGTGTTTTTCTTCCCAATGTTTGACATGTTGCAATGTTCCAGAGTGAATTAGTAGGCTGTCTTCTTTTAGGAAAACAGTTTTTGGGGGCAGGCAGTAGCATTTGTGTATTCTGTTATCGTGGGTGGCCTTCAGCTTGCAGGGGTCCTTGAAACAGGAAGGGAGCTTAGCTTTGGACACAGTTTTCCACTGCTGTGGAGGTTGTGAAGGTTTGTTTGGCTGTGCAGCTCTAATGTTGTTTAGATTTGCAATTCCCAGGAACAAATTAAACCTCCGAAGAGCATAATTTAAACTAGAATTTCCGTATTTTTGCAGTATAAAGGCTGTGTTAACTCCTCAGTGGCACTGAGAGCTTGAAAATTAATGTGCAGAGAGAAAAAGGGTAATTGTTGCTTTTATCTATGCCATCTAAAGTACGTGTTTGATTGCAGTGCAGAGCTGATACACATGAGTGATAGGTTATTCCCTCCATGTGTTTATTGGGATCTGGTTGCCAGCCTAAGTGCACTTTACACTATTTATTGAGATCTGGTTGCCAGTCTGAGTGCAGTTTGCAGTGCAGGATGTGCACATCAGTCACACCAGGAATGTATCCTGTCGTGAACGGGGAGATTTCCACTGAAACGTTGCAATGTGCTGATCCTGCAGGGAGGGCTCCGGGCTGAGCTCCCACTGTGGGATTTGAAAGGCTGTGTCTGGGACAGCAGGAACTCTGACCAGCCAAATTCAGCGAGATGTTTGAAAGGATTAAAGATGCCACTAAAGCTGCAGATACTGGAACAGCACCAGACTGCAAAAGCTTCCCAATTCGACTGCATCAGCCCAAAAGATTTAACACTGCTTAAAAAAAAAAAAAAAGAAAAAGAACAGAACAGTGTGTTGGTATATTATAGCAAATAACCTTTAGGATTCATACCAGCCCTGTTCCCTTGGGAATCTGGAGTTTCACAGTGGCAATACTGACAGAGGGGAAAGGAGTGCATTGGCTGTGTAGCTTAAAGATGTTTGATTTCCAGAAGTTTATAAAACTGAGCAGCTGTCAGTGATGGACCTGATTTTTAAGACTCAGAAGAAGCATAGTCCAGGAACTCCTGTGTGAGAGCAGAAATGCAGAGGAGGCAATTTGTATTCTGCCTACCCATAAGCGATGACACATGGTGTGTGCTCCAGAAACTGAATGCCCAGATGAATTCAGATTTCTTTGTAAACTCCCAAAAGCAAGTTTATAGCAGTGTATTTTTGAAATACTGCTGCATAGGTGGTCCTGGGAGACTTCAAAACTGAGCCTTTTGGCTGGACTGTTAGGATTTTAGGTAAGTGTACATGTGTGTTTATATATGTGTGTATGTGTGTATATATAATTTGACTTGAAAAAAAATAAACAACTGATTGTGTGTCTCAGATACAGTTGTTTTCCCAAGGAAGTTACTGGAAGCCAGTATTTGATTTTTCTTACATTACTGGTATTGACTCGCTGTGTGATGATTTAGCCTCGTGATGCTGTAAATTCAGCTAAGAACAGCACTATGTGAGATCAGTGGCTCCATTGCCCTTGCTTTTATTTTATCTTTTTAGATATTGTAGCTGTAAATCTGTAGAGGGATTTAGGATGAAGCTGAAGAATAACCATCCATGATTTTATTTTACTGCTCTATGCCACATAATTCCAGCTTCTATGTTCTTTTCCTGATGCACAAATCCCAGGTATTGCAGTTTATGTGAAACAGAGACAGCCTGTTACAGCAAATCAGAATCTCCTACAGCCAAGTGGAACGTAAAATTTATCTTATCTTCACATGAAATTCTAGTAATAACTGTCCTGGACTGTATTTGTGCCTTCCCACCGAAGGCACATCGTGCTGGACTGGGCGTGTGGGTTTTGCAGAGGAAGGATCATCATTAACTAAGACCCTGTTAGCAATGAACGATGGTGGGCAGTGTAACTGCAGTTCAGCCCGTGTCCCCTGTCACTCCTAACCTGTTTTTCCCCTCGCAGTTACTATGTGGGCGAGCTGCTGTAACTGGTTCTGTCTGGACGGCTCAGCCGAGGAGATGCAGCCGCAGCCGCCGCCAGCCCGAGCCCAGGCCTATTCCAACCCCGGCTACAGCTCCTTCCCCTCTCCCACGGCTCCCGAGCAGAGCTGCAAAGCCTGCGGGCTGCACTTCGACAGCTCGGCCAGCAAGGTGAGTGCTGGCAGTGTTCAGCTGCTTCCCTGAACCAACCGCTCGTTAGAGGCCTCTGCTTTGAGGACATTCCATGTGGGAAAACACTTCTGGGTCTTCAGTTATTCTTTCACAGTTAGGCATCCTTAATGCGACTGGAAATGCTTAACCTTCTGTAGGCTTGGCTTTGCCGGGCCTGAAAGAAGAAAGGCAAGATGCTGATAATCACTTAAAGGAGCATTAGCTTAAACGTGATTTATTGCTGTTTAAAAACACTAATGTCCTTTAAAAAAGAAATACCTACGTTCTAGCAAGAAGTTTAGTAATGTTTTTGCTTTCATCTGCTCCAGCTAAAAAGCCAGGGAAGTTTATTGTGGGTGTGTGTAGAATTGCTGAAGCAAAAGAAAAAAAAAAACCAACCCAAATCCAACCCCAAATTTATATTATCTTGTTTGTGAACTCCATTTGTGAGTATATAGATGCCCAAATAATTGCTGCCACGAGACTTTTAGTTCGACAGCAAATCCTGCCTGGATTTGCATTGTTTGGGCATGGTGGGTCCTGTAATGCTGCTTGAAAATGTTTTAGGGAGGAAAGTTGTTCTACATCCACATTCTGTGGATCCTGCAGCATGTTACTGAACTTAAGAATGTGAGAATGCACAACTAATACTGAATTTTGGCCAAAGCCCTCTTAGGTTAGATGGGAAAGTTCATAACCTGGTTTTCCTTGCACCTTTTTATTCATGCACGAGGATACATGTGGGAAATGGGAAGACTTGGCAGGGCTGTTGCTTTCCTCTCATGGAACAGGGATGTTGATGCATTTTTGCACTGAGAAGTGTTGTTGCTCCAGAAATCACTGGAAATTCAAACTTTGGTAATATACTGGGGGGGTTGGACATACATGGTGACACATTTGGGGTATTATAGGTATGCTTAGACTTTTCCTGGTGCTGGGGCAGCTGGAATGGTGCTGTCCCTGCACAGGACTCTGTAGTGTTGTGTTCAGCATTGCCCTCATCGATGTGATGTGTCCTCACAAATACTTGTGGGAAGAGTTATCCTGGATCCAGTGCCTGCTGTTCTGCATTGTAGCAGTGAAAGCTTGAATGTTGGCACTTGGTGTTCTCCTGCACACGGAGAAGAGCCAAGGGAACCAGAGCCCCATCCTGGTGTCTCTGGGAGATGGGCTGTCAGAGCAAACACCCAGGAGCAGCTTCCATCCTGGACATGGCCTGACCTTTTAGGAGCAGGCTTTAATTTATAACAACACTTTAATCATTCTGAAGAGCCTCCAGTAACTGCCCTTGTAGTCAGAGTTCAGCAAATATATCAAACCTGTAAAAGCTGCTTGAAGCTGAGCTGTGCCCCACACGTGCCTGTTTGAACACTTGGTGCTCAGATACAGGCTGGGGAGTGTTTCTGTCTGCAGATGAAGCCTAGTGCTGAACTGATAAGCCAGAGACACGCCTGGCTTTATTTTGACTTCTCCAATGTATCATTTGATAACCAAGGCAGGCTGTCACTACTGTTGATGGCCTGCAAGGAACACTTTGGGTAACACAGCCCTTGTGCTGGGCTTGCTTACGTGACACCTAAAGATGGGAGTGCTCCAGCAGGGCTTTTCTGGCTGGAAGGTCCTTGGCAATGCAGAGGTTCCCTTTGGAGCAGGTTTGGCAATCTGCAAGGCATGGGGAGGCTTCCCCCTGCCAGAAAAAATGGGGTTGTTTGGGGTTTTTGGGGTATTTTGTGGGGGTTTTATTGTTGGGGTTTTTTTTGGTTTTGTTTAGGTTTTTTTCATCTCAGTTCTGATTTCTGCCAGAACTGATTTCTGCCCCCCAGATGGGCAGTTGAGAGAGGGCAAGTTGTCAATGAGGTTACTTTCCACTTCTCTGCCTTTGTGAAGTGTTTGTTCCCATGCCCTAGACACACAAACAGATCCTGTCTCTGCCCTGAAAACTTCTGGAGAAACAGGATTGCTCCTGCAATCACAGGGTCAGAATAAATTACATATCAATGGCTTTTATGATGACCAAGCTAAGGAAAGCTTCTCCAAACTGGATGTTTTGTGGGAATTGCCCTTCCTGCCTTGCTTTGTGATTGATGAAAGTCACTTTTCCTTGGCAGGCCCCCAAACAGGCTTCTTGAGATGAGGTTTCAAGTTTGCATGACCAGAGATTCTCTCTGTGGTAGAAATTTTCATGTCTTAAAGTGCTTGGGCAGGAAATGGGGATTCTTTCCATTAACTGTCACTGTAAGTGTATTCCAGGGTCTAAATGAGAGGCCTGTTGGTGTTAATTGTAAGGGTGTGTGGGGAGCCAGGGGGCTGCCAGGGGATCAGAAGGAGCTTTTGTAAGCAAGTAGGGTATTTACACCCTGTAAAACATGAGAAACATCTGCTCTCTTTGAACTGTGTAGTTAGAGATGTTCTTTAATCACTAGAACCTATTATAAAACAATTTTTTTTTTGTCCTTGAGTTTGTATTTGTTGCTTCTCCAACTCCACGTGTGCTCTTTTCCTTGCACAAAGGAAGGAGCAGGATGTCAGGATTTCATAGGAGTGCTTGGCTTCTCTGAGACTCTGAATCACCTTCTTTAACCAGCACTGAAACCACTTCTTTCTTCCCTCAGGGCTTTTTAAAAGGCACGTAATGTGGCTGTTCTGCTGCTATTCCTATTGGAAAATGTAGAATTTGCCTTTCCAAAGTGTTGAACAGTCAAGTTTCTGCAGAAGTCAACACGGACTGTGAGTGCTTGGAACTTCTGAAAATCGAGCCCTGAGTGACAAGATCAGAACAGTATCAAATATAAACATTAAAGAACAGAATTTAATCTGTAAAGTTTTTAAATGTCTGGGGCCTAATATTTCCAAAACTTCCAACACTTTCTGTCTAGCACTAACTGGCACACAGTGGGTGTATTATTTTCAAAATAAGCTATTTTTGTTGTTTAAATAAACGCTGAGTTCTTTGATGTCTGTTAGACACTGTAAGCTTTGCTGTTCCCTTTCCCTCTTATGGGGAAAGAAAGATTCATTTAGTGATTGCAGCAAATTGGAGGGGGAAAAAAGGGGTTGGGGAGGGAGGTCATTTATAGCAAGTATTACATTTATGAAAGAGAGAAATGTTTTTAAGTAGTTCCCTCCAATGCTGGAGCTTTCTAAATGCAACAGAGCAATATGCACAAATAGCTGGAATCCACGTGCAAGACAGAGATTCCCTTAGAGAGATGTCCTGATTTCCTCTGGCTCAAAGTGAGTGAGCAGGTGTGGAAAACTCCTGCCATGTGAGGGAACTGACTGGGAATGTAACGCTCCATTCTGGGGAAATGGGATGTGAGTGGGGCTTCTCCAGGAACCGTGAGGAAGGCAGAGATCTGCTCAGGGATCGGTCCTTTTCCTCATTTAGGAACACGGGGAACAGACTTGGCACTTTTCCCTAAATCCCAAGGATTTGGTTGTGCTTTCACAGAGGCTGCTGCTCCCTTTGGCTCCCGGACGGGAGGTCACCGTGTCCCGCTGGCACAGGATGGGTTTGATTCCTTTCCCCTCTCTTTACCAGCACATCTGCTTGGACTGTAAGAAGAATTTTTGCACGTCCTGCTCCAACCAGCCTGAGGGGGGGCCCCTGCTCTGCCACCTCTGCCAGCGCTTCCGAGCCACGGCCTTCCAGCGGGAAGAGCTGATAAAGATGAAGGTGAAGGACCTGCGAGACTACTTGGCCCTCCACGAGATCTCCACAGAGTTTTGTCGTGAAAAGGAGGACCTGGTGTTTCTGATCCTTGGCCAGCAGCCTGTAATTAGCCAGGAGGATCAGATAAGAACAAACACATTTAACACCAGAGCCTCTGGACAGCAAGACTTTGTGAGTCACCCCCCAGCCAGCCTGTCTTCTTCTACCTCACTCGAGGAGTCTTCGGTGTCTACAGAGCCCATCTCAAGTTCAGTAGCTCAGGAGCACCAACAGGTACAGTCTCTGGCCAGAACCATCCTTTGCAAACTCGTTCATCTCTGGTTTTGGATTAACTCCTAAGATGTTGCCTGTGGTTTTGCTGTGTAAAGCTGTGACTTGCTGTCACTAATTTTGATGTGCCGTTCATTAGTGGATTTTAATTTGGTGGGCAGTGCTGAGTATGTCAAGCATTCACTCTCAGAGCAACAGCACTGGTTTGGGATGGGTTTTCTCTGGTCCACACTTGCATTGCCACAAAGATGCTCCTGTGGCTGGTCCTTTGGGGCTGAGAACTCCTGACAACCGTATGCAGGTGTAATGAAATGGTTGATATTGTTCTTTAATTCCTGTGCCACACAGCAGGCACAGTCTAAAGCACTTTGGGAGCTGGAGCTGATGAGAAAGATGATAGGAAGCGGGTGAGGTTTTTGGTGTCTCCTGCACTCAGATCAATAGAAAACAAACCAAACAAACCCTGAGTCTGTCACCAAGTCTTTGGTTTATGATGAACCTGCAGTTCTGACAAACCTCGTCAGGGGCATTTGAGCTTAATTATTTTTTATTGACCTTGCTTTGTTTGTCTTTCTGCTTTCTGCTGTGGGAAGTTTACTCAGTGTTTGACATCTGCTCCTTGTCCTATTACAAAGTTAATAGGTGTATTTAGTTCCCTGAAAATGTGTGTACCTTCTGCTTCCTCAGCAGATAAGTCTAGTTCAAAGGAGGAGTTTTCCTGGGAGAACGTTTTTTTACAAATCATTAAAAGGCATTTTAATTCCCTGGTTTTCTGGATATTGCCATTCCAGTTTTTACCAGCTCTGTTTTCCCTGACTGCCCCGTGATACATTTCAGCTTCTTGTCTCTACTTGCATGACATCCTGCTGCAGCTCGGGCTCTTTGATGGTTACTGTTCCTCTTGTGCTCTGTAAATATTAACAAGTCCCCACCTGGATAAGTAGGATGGTAACATTACAGTCTCTTTGTCAGTAGGAAACCAGAGGGGAAGGGTGGCTGCTGAGGCTGAGTCAGATACAATTACACTGCTCATTTTATGGAGAGCCCAGAGCAGCTGCTCAGCTCTTCTCCTCCAGCTCTGTTGCTGCTGGTCCTTCACTCAGAGTCTCCTGTTTGCCCACTCCAGAACCCACTTGAGGAGGGGTTTGTCTGGTTACTGTGAAGATCTGGAGACTCTGAGCTGTGTTAGAGGGTTGTACAGAGCCTTGCACTGAGAGCTCTGACACTCAGGGAAGGATTGCATATATACACATATATATATATATATACACATGTATAAATTTGGTCTCCTCCTGATCCAGCCTCACAAGAGCATCATGTGGGATTTTTTACTGCACAGGTTCTGTACTGAGGCTTTAAAGGTTCAGAAGCTGCACTTCAGTTTCAGAAAGTTTTGTTTGTGTGAGTGCTGCACTGGGAATACTCTGTGAGCGTGCCTGGCTTGTACCTTGTGCTGCACTTGTCCTTCCAGTGGCCAGGGACTGCAGGGACACTGCGCTGGAGCTGATTTCCCTCCGGACACCCACAGACACACCGTTGGTGAAACCTTTATCTCCTCTTGTAGGCAAATGGTCACGTGCCTCCGAGCCCAGTCGGTGTGACAGCAGTTGAGGATGCAGCAGAGGAAGCACCAGCGGAGGAGGAGACACAGGTTTGTGTGTCCTGGAACTGGATGACAAGGAATACCGGGTTTCCTAGGCTGTATTTGCTACCACAGAGATGAGTGGCTGAACAGTAACTGAGACTGACCACTGGCAGACCCAACCAACCCCCTCCTGTGGCAGCACCTTGTCCTGCACGTAGAGAAGGAACTGGTGTCACTTGGACACCGATAATAGAAATTATTTCTGTCTTAAGTCTTGTGTTTCTGACGGAGGAATTCAGAGTAACCAGTTATATTCATCCAAACACGAATTCCTGCTCATGCAGATATTGAACGTTGATTCAAATCGTGGGTTCAGGTGTTGAGGACAAGAATCATTGCACCTTTGTTCCCTTCCAGTCTACTGACTCTGAAGATAACCTGGTGCTGGGGAGGAAGGCTTCTCTCTCCGACCTGAGGAGCGTCGGGGACATCAACGCGCTCTCCGTGCGGCAGCTGAAGGAAATCCTCGCCCGCAACTTCGTCACCTACAAAGGCTGCTGTGAAAAGTGGGAGCTGATGGAGAGGGTGACCCGTCTCTACAGAGAGAAAGACCCTCGGCATCTAGGTGAGAAACTTAGCCAATGTGTGCCTGTTTTCCAGGTTTTCCCTTTTTTGTAACAGTTGTAGAAGGAAATAGAACTTAATATTTCTGTTTCATGCAAGTGAGGAGGGAGATTTACACACATCAGAGTGAAAGTAGCTGAACTCTGCTCACCACTACTCGTAGTTATTTGAGGAGAGCCTCCTGGTAGCTTTGGACAGTTGCTGCCCTGTGGCAGCAACATGAGAGCTGTGCACCCTTCACCTCAGATGGTGTGTGGCTGTGGCAGATCCCACGGGGCACTGCCTCACCCGCAGAGCAGCTGCCGTGTGCCTGGGCTGAGCTCTTCCCTCTGGACTCATGGTAACTGGGGAAGTGATCAGGGAAATGCCCTGCCCAGGCAGGAAACCACCACCAGAAAGCAGCTGGGAAATTCAGAGCATGAGCTCAGGACAGGCTGCACAGCTGGGGTTCGACTCTGTCTTATGTCAAGAGCGTTCCTGCTGCACACGCTGGGCCTGCTCAGGGAGAGGTGAGGGGATAGAGGGGCACAGAGAATGTACCTGGCTTGACTTTCAGGTGCCAGTTTGCACTTCATTACTTAAAAACCACAGACTTGTACATTATTTACAAGAGAAACTTATTTTAACACTGATTTCATAGGTTTGTGCTGTCCACACTACTGTTGTTTCCTTTAACACATCTCTTTAAGCATTGTCCTCTATAAATGATACAAGATTTAAGACACCTGCTTTCGGTTTATATTCTTGTATCTTGTGCTTTTGATAGAATTTATCCTTCTCTCTTAATCACAGTTGCCTCTGTGTGTGTCCCAGCAATCCTGGTGCTTGTGTAACACCAAAGAAACTGGCACCAGGGGCTGCTGCAGGTGCAGCACTAGGGAGCCAAACTCTGCACACATTCCAGGGCTGTCTTAAACATGTCTTGAGACATGCCTTTGGAGTGCTGCTTATCTCTGGGAAGCCTTAAGTGTTGTGTAAGCTCAGGATAGGAGAAAGTTTTTTGCCAGCTGTTAAACCTGTCGTGTTTAGAGCCCAGCCTGAGCCTCTCGTGGGGATCAGCAGAAAGCAGTTTTGGTTTAGCAACTCCCTCAGGGCTTTCAGCCCCTGCCTGGTAACGTTTCTGTCCCAGCTGGTTCTCACCAAATCACTTTCTCTTCTTCTGTTGCAGTTTCTGACACGGACGATCAAACTGGTAAGTGATATCCTTAATCCTGGATTTGTGTAGGAGGGAAGAACCCTCCGAGATCAAGTCCAACTGTTTCCCCAGCACTGCCAAGGCCACCACTGACCATGGCCCCAAGTGCCACATCCACGTGGCTTTTAAATCCCCCCAGGGTTATTTCTTCCACCACTGCCCTGAGCAGCCTCTTCCAGTGCTTGACAACCCTTTTGGGACAGAAATTTTTCCCAATATCCAATCTAAACCTCCCCTGGCACAACTTGAGGCCATTTCCTCTTCTCCTGTCGGTTACTTGGGAAGAGAGACCCGTGTTGCTTCACTGGCCTCATTGCTGAGAATCTCAGTGCTGTTTGTTTTCATCACACACAAATTACTGTGGAAAAGCCAAAACTTCTGATGGAGCAGATACAGACACAAGGGGGGTTCTTCTGCAGCCCTTCCACGTGCAGGAGTCCATTAGGGAACCCTTCAGTGGAGCCCACTGGGCTCACACAAACCCAGCACACCTCCCTTTGTGTCACCAACCCGTGGTCTCCTGTCCCCTCAGGTGGTGCTGGGCAGCCCAGCGCCGAGGACAACCTGTGCAGGATCTGCATGGATGCTCCCATTGACTGTGTCCTGCTGGAATGCGGGCACATGGTGACGTGCACCAAGTGCGGGAAGCGGATGAGCGAGTGCCCCATCTGCCGGCAGTACGTCATCAGGGCCGTGCACGTCTTCAGGACATAACCGGGGGCAGGGCTGGCCATGCCCTGAAGCCTCCTCTGCCGGGAGAGGAACGGTCCACATCCTACAGATAGTTACAAACAGACCCCGCTGGAAGGGAGGGAAGGAGGAAGCCTTGGGGAAAACTGTCCTGCTCAAGCCACGCCCGACTCTGCTCTTCCCACCATCGTGCTTTACACCACAGTGCCTGCACTCCCTGGAGCTCAGTGCCAGCAACCATGAACCACCCACATCCCAGGATGACTCGATCCTCTCTGCTGAGGACAGATGGATGCTCAGCTTTCCACCACAAAGATCAGCTCCAGAGGCTTTGTATTTTCCTCTGAATAATAAAAGTGAACTGGGGTCTCAAAAAGTGTCCTTTGTTTTGCTGCTCAGGCTACACCCAGCAACAACTTGGTTTTCAAAGATTAAAATGTCACTGTGCTTGTTAATTTTACTTTTATTTTTAATTTAATGTAAAACCATGTTATGCTTGCAGGACAGGCAGACTGCCTCTGCTTTCCCTAATTCCAGCCTAGTGCAATTGTGGAAAAACGTATCATTTTATGTGAAGGTTGCCTTTGTATTATTGAGAACTGTTGGGAGGGAGGCTCTGTGAGCATCCAGCCTGGCCCTGTGCGGTGGTTTTTGTTTGTGCCACGGGGAGGGAGGTGTCTGGTTTGATTGTTGTTGACTCCTTTGACTCCACAGACTTCCCAGCACAAACTGAACTGCCTTCACTTACTGAAGGAGCTACAAATCCAAGGCTTTGAGTCTTCCCGAGGGTTTAGTGAGGGAACCACTCAGCTGGAGAGCAGTGAGGACTCCAGTGCTACACAATCATTATTTAAGTACAGGTGACTTTTTCTTTTCAGAAGGGAATCATGGAAGAAAGCCATGAGCAATCACCACTGCAGAGCAGCTTCCCCCCCTCCTCCTGGGCTGTTTTACAGTTCTGTTCCCCTCAGGCTGTTTATTAAAAGCCATTTATTTTGTACTTTCTGCTGGTGAGGGTGGGGAGGAGGGCCCCTGGTCTGATCCCTCACAGCTCTCCTGGGCAGCGTGTGCAGGTGGAAGAACTTGCCAGAGATGATTGTAACTGGTGTATTTTCCCCTCAGTGTGTTTGGCTGCAGCACAGCCAGGCTCCAGAATCTTCATGCCTTAAGTTTGCATCACCGTGGGATTGTGCTCTCATTCCAAGGCACCTGTGAATCTGGGAACCTCCTGCTGCAGGGTTTTGCTGTCTGGCTCTGGGGAGAGGTGATCACTCCATGTTCAAACCCAGCCCCTGCCTGGCTGCCAGCAGGGACCAGCACAAATCCCAGTGTCCCCTCTCAGCTCCTGGAGCACTGGAAGGGCAGTTGCAGGAATAGCACCAAAGCTCCTCGTGCAGTAAGTGATAACAGTGTCAACAGCAAACGAAACTGTGTATTTTTACCAGGGACTGTTGCATGAGTAGTAGTTCAGCTGCAGGGAGTGGAGGGTCTGTGCTCTGCCGGAGCCAGGAAAGCACCTGAGGTGAGGAATCTGTGGCTCAGGAGGCAGCAGAACCCCTGCAGTGCTGAGGGGGTCTCAGAACTCCACCAAAAGGCAGCAGCAGCTGCAGTTTACTGAACTAAACACTGAGTTTTACCTCTTTGCCTGGTGAGGTTGTTCTTTAATCTTTAGCTTAAGGTTTAACAGGTTCCAGGACGAGAAGGAACTGGTACAATTCCGTGCATCATGTTAAAAAGAAAGGTAAGCAGTGACTGTGTTTACTCTTGGGGGGGGCACAGGGACCTCCAGGAGGTACAGGAATACACAAAGTGCTGAATTTAGTAAATTCACTGTGAAAATTCATGTTGTCATATTTTTCAATAAACTCAGGGCTGGGGGAATTTAGCAGGAAGATTATTCCCCTATGGACAGATGTGCTTTTCCTTGTAGAGGGTAGGCTTACTTTCTACAGCACATAAATCAAGTTGCAGATCAATGCCTGAAATTTTAGGGATGAGAAGATACACCCAGTGACTCCAGAACTGCTTTCTGAAGGGAGGACTCCTTGTAAAAATGGGTTCTCTACTTATGGATATGTGTGACTTGTTTTTCAAGGAGAATCAAAATCTGGGGGAAACTGATTAATGATGCAAAGGAATATAATGTTCTGAACTAATAAAGTAAATGGAAATATTTATGTGCTCTATGTACACTGTACATTGTTTAAAGACTTTAAAAGTTAATATTCTACTTGAAAGGGCATGTTATTCTCTGTTAAACCCCCTTGGTACTATGATGGTTAAACTTACTAGTTTTGGTACGGAAGTTTGGTTTATAATTTTATAATAAAGTTGAAATGTGATTTAGTTAACCTTGTTTCTGACTCTGTTACAACAGGTGGGGAGAAAGCAGAGATCCTGCAGCTACTGCTGAACCTCAGCCAGAAACTGCTTAAATATTGTTGGTGGAGGGTACAAAGTATAGAGGAGGTTGAAGGAAAAAAGTTACCTGACAACAACTGCATTTGCCATTTGCAAAGCAGTTAAAAGGAATAACTATTTCCAACCCCCCCCCTTCCTTATTTCATTAATATTCAAGCACTTGCAATAGTTTTGAACAGCTTCCCAGGAGGTCTCAGTTATCCTAAAAGATCGAGGTGCTGGAGTTCCTTCCTCAGCTTTTACTTGTTGAAACGTGAATAGCAGGAGCAACATATTCTGGAAAACAAACCCTCCAGGAGGATACTGGGATAATGCCACAGTAGCTGCTCTAAGAGAAGCTTATTTGGTGTCCTGGTTTTAACATGAAACCTACACCAAGGTGTAAATGCTCCTGTTGCAGCCCTGAGTGGAGTGTCAGGGACAGGAGAGAAAAGGCAAAACCAGGAGGAGGACACGTGACCTTTGTGTAAATTGTACCCACACAGCAAAATTATCCTGGTACTGCAGCCAACAGTGTCTCGCAGTGGGTGGTCTGTTTTCCTGTCCAGGCAGAGAATAACCTTTGGAAAATAAGTCCTGAGAGCAAAGGAGAAACTGCTTCAGTTTTATTTCTTTATCTATAAAAATACCCAAACTTTAAAAACCCAAGGAGACCAAACCAGCACCCAGGTGAGTGCAGTGGTCTCCAGTATGGGCAGGAAAATGGGATTCAGCAGTGACATTTCATCAGAGAGTTGTTTTAATTTATTCCATAGGGTTGCTGTGGATCTTTGTGAGCACCTCTGCTGGCATTTTATGTCTGTCCACAACTGCACCTTTCCTTCCACCTACCTAGTTCCGGGCTGCTCCTGTGCCAGGACTGTCCCTGCCCCGCTAGCACGGCGCCACCAGCCTCCTCTTCCGGATGCATTCCCAGATCCACCTGGGAGACACACGCTGAGCACCAGGGTTGTCCTCAATGTCCCCGATGACGTGGGTGGCCGAGGCCGTGTCACGCTCTGGCACCAGGTCCCCGTCGTAGGCGATGAAGTAGCGCCGCAGTTTGTCGAAGTCCCGCACGGAGGGCGGCAGGTACAGCCTCACTCCCGTGAAAATGTCCAGCAGTGGGTGCTGAGGGAGAGAAGGGGGGATGGATTTCCAGATGGAAGGCAAAAGTGAACAGACAACTCCACTGCCTCAGCCTCCTCCCACCCCACAGTGGTTGCTGTCCACCCGACTGTACCTTTTTTCCGTTGTCCTCCATCTCCGATGCTTTTCTCTTCTCCCCTCGTTTCTCCTCGGATTTCTGAGGGGATGCAAGGATTGCTTTGCTCTCTAAAAACAAACAAACTTGTCTCATTTCTGTGCTCTGTCCAGATACTGGTTGTGTATTAACATGGGGGGAGAGAGTGAAGAGAGTAAAAGGAAAAAGTTGCCTTCCCTCTTTCTGGGAAATCCATGGATTAGAATGTAACGAGCAAGACACATTTTTCTAGAGGGGAACCTCCTGGCCTCCTTTCCAGGATGCTGCTGCCACTTGCCCTGCGTGCTGTCACCACACTGTCCTTTCTGAAACTGCTCAGCAATTTGCTTCACGTTGTTCCCCAGTGACAAACACAAACTCAATTTACCTGGAAATCACCTCCATGCAGGTGTCTCATTATATGCATGAATTCCATCCAAATAAAATTAAACACTGGTTCATGGCCAAAAACATCTAACCAAAGGGCATGTGACGTGCAGGAACAGGAGCAGGGAACACCAACCTAAAAACGGCATCATCAGTGCTGCTTCCATCCACCTTTTCCCAATCCCAGCACACCTCAGAGCTGTGGCTACTCAATCCATGCTGGGAATAGCACAGGCCAAACTAAGGGTCTAAACAGCTTTGCCCATTCTCCCTGACATGCACGTGGAAGGTGCTGTGGGATCTTCAAGCCTCTGACAGAAGGCAAAGATCCTGACCCAGCCTGCCCCAAACCCGGAGCACACCCCCCAGGCCTCCTCTCCTGGGAAGCACCATCTTACCTTCTGGCTTCTGGGCTTTCGCAGGTGACTTGTTTGGGGGGGTTTTAATACTGCTGTGAGGTGTGGAAGACCTGGAATTCCCCTCATTCTCTCCACTGCTGCCTGCTGTGGACTCATCCTCCTCCCCGGCACCAACGCTGAAATCAGCCTTCTCCTTGGAGAGCTGGTACAGCTCCTGCCCCCCAGAAACAGAGTGTGAGTGTCTGACACCAGACAGGAGCTGTAACTGCAATTAAAGGGGCTCCTCTTGTTTGTTCCCCCCTGAGTGTTTGTTCGGGTGATTTTTCTCCTGCACCTCTTTGTAGCCATTTTCCTGTCAGCTCTGTCCAAGCTCTCTGCATTCCACCCCTCTGCTTGGCATTAAGGGAAACCACACAGGGAGGAATCAAAAGCCACATCCCCATGCTCTGCTGCAGAGCAAGACACACTAATTCATCAGAGCCTGAGGGATGAACAGTGCCTGCTGCTCTCCCTGGAACAGCCCATCTGCAGAGGGCACTGTGCCTCTCTCTCCTCTACCTGCACAGGCTGCAGGACAGCAGGGGGGCTGGATCACTCCTGGTTTCCACAACAAGCACTGGCAGCTGCTGCCAGCACCCCACAGGCTGTGTGAGGACAGCCCAGACTGCAGGAAGTACCTGAGCTCAGAGCTCATCCCCAGCTCACTGTGGGACTGGCACCAGGACAGTTCCATCAGCAGAGGAGGAGGAGTGGGTGGGTGCAGCCCAGGGATCCTGGCTGGCTCCACTTGCCCCAGGACTGGGCCAGGTTATCCACATCCTATTCCCAAATGATCTCCCAATTGGGAAAGTGAATGACCCTAAAAAGAATGAATGCCATCTCCTTGAGGAAGGCAATTCCTCACCACGGGGTGTTACAGGAGCTCATACAACCAGCTGCCAGCACAGGCTTTCCTGACAGGGCACAACACAACAGCTCAGGAGACAGAGGGACATTCACATCCCAGCGAGCGGCCTGAGGAAAGGGAAGGTGCCATCCCGAGTCCCAGGCGGGAGGTGCCTTCACCTCACCCCCTGCTACCCAAAGCTGCATTTTAGCCATGCATTGCTGTCCCAGCTCCCAGCCCAGCAGGTGCAGGAGTGCTGTGTCAGCTCACCTTGAGCTGCTGCAGGTTGGTGGCCGTTTGCCAGTCCTTGTCGTCCCGGATGCGGGTGCAGCGCGGGAAGCGGATGGAGATCCCGTCGGCAGTGTGGGCCTCGGCCTTGGAGAACTCAGCCCCCGTGATCTCCCACACTGGGGCTTTCTGAACACACCAGGGAGGAAGTCACGTCACATTCCTGTGTTCTCTCATGAAACAACTGATCAATAACTCCCCTCCCTGTTCCAGATAGACAAACTGACCACCTTCAGGACTGTAATTAGAAAAACCTACTTTTTCCACTAAGTCAAAGATCCTTCACTAACATATCATGCCAATTTCTAAATAACACCTTTTCTTTCAAGCATAAAGCAGACTGACCCATTTCCTAAAACAACAGCAACTTTTGGGTTACAGCTGCGCTTCAGCTGTTCAAGTCAGACTTTTAATGTCTCACATTTAAAGTAAGTTCACTTCTGGAAAGCATTTAATGCACAAGAATGTTTCCCAAAAGTGCTGCAGGTGTGATTTCCTCATGAAGCTTTTAGCCTCAAAAGCACCTGCAAGACTGAGAAATAAAAAGTTGTGCTTTATTTCCCATTCCAAGTATGAAGACTAATTTTTAAAAGAGACAACTTGCACACTTAAAGGACATGAAACAGATTGTTATGTCAGGGCTGGGAAATGGAGTTAAATGACTATGACAACACTTACCTTTGGATCTGGGACAATGAAGTCTGGGTAGTAGATTTTGTTTATTTTTAGCCACCGTGGAATTTTACTCGGATCCTGTTAATTAAAGCACAAACCCAAAATAATAGCACTTATATATGAACCTACTACTACAAAAGTTGCTGAAACATAACCTAGAAGTAAATCAGCAGATAGGTATTAGATTGCCTTTGCATGGATGAAACTTGCTTTAGCCTGATCTGCAGCAGTCTCTCTCATCTAGAAAATCCCAAATATTACCTGGAATATTACAGCTCTCAACTCCTGTCATTTGTATGTGAAACAATAACACTGTTGCTCCAATTGTGATTCATGTAAAACTACCCATTTTTTTAAGATTCTATAGGCCTGATGCAAATGGCCTTCAGGATGTCAAGTAAATATTAAAATTCTCTGTTTATCTGTCGAGTCTTGAAAAGTGAGATTCCTCACATAAATAAGCCAGTCAGAAATGTCTGAACTCCAACACATCAGGTTATGGAGCAGTAAGTCTGATTTGAGCTCTTCTCTCCTGCAGCCCCATCTAGTGACTGTCTCTGCCAATTGCAATATGCCCAAAAAAATTGGTACCCTTCCCAATAAAACTCTGTCCAGGCAGGAAACAGATGGTGCCTGGCTTCCCACTCAGTGTCTGAGTACAAATCCCAGGCAGTGCCTCATCAGGAGTTGGCTGTACTGACACCTCACTTGTGTCAGAGCGGTTTATCTGCTTTAACTCTTACTCCTTCCTGGCAGGATGCTTAAACCAGCATTTAACCAGCACCTCGACATCAGCTCAGCCCTTTGCTGAGCATCCCTTTGCTCCCCTCCACCCCAGAGCCCCTCTCACCTTGCTGATCTTCACCATGTCCAGCTCCGTCTGCAGACGTGCCAAGGTGGCATCGTCATGGCCACCGGAGCACTTGGTCACAGTGCACCACTTCTCACTCTTGGGATCGTAGCAGCCCATGAGGAAGATGGACATCATCCCACCTGCACGGGGAAGAGTAGGGTGGGTCACATCTACAGGAGGAGCCACAGCTTTTCAAAATGCAAAGTAACAAGCCAAACTCCTTTTCCATCTTTGGGAGTCAAAGGGAGCTGGGCTTGTGA